ACTGGCTTACATCACTTAATGTAACGTTTATTCATACATGTCTTTGTGTGTGTTAAAATCTCTTAGACCTGAATAATAATATTCCATTGTATGCACTACATATTGTATATCCATTCATCCATCAGTGTACACTTCTACCTTGTGGCTATTGTGAATGAGTGAGTTATGCTTCTGTAAACATAAGTATACAATTACCTATTGGAAAACCTTTTGTTTCCTTAAGTAGAACTGCTGGATTATATAATTCTATTGAGGAGCCTACCGTATTTTTATAATAGTGATACCATCTTTACATTCCAACATTTGCTTTCTGAGCTTTGTTTTGTTTTTTTAAAAGTAGCCAACCTAACTAATATGAACTTATATCTTACTGTGGTTTTGATTTGCATTTCCTTGGTGACTACTGATATTGAACGTCTTTTTATGTGCTTATTGGCCATTTGTGTATATTTGAAGAAATGCCTGTTTGAATCCTTTATTATCCTCATTTGAGTTGTTTGGGGGTTTTTTGTGGCTGAGTTGATCAATCAGTTTCAAAGTATGGTAGCCGTTAACTTCAAACTTTATGCCTTATTGAAAGCCTTTTGCATCCACCACCTACTTAGTAGATTGGCAAAACTCCTCCCATTGTTATTCCTGTATAACAGTAATAATCTCACCAAGAAAGAAATTAGGAAAAGTATTAGTCAAAAATCGCATAAAAATACTCAGGAATTAATCTATATCCTATTCTCAAATTGGATTCCTATGTTTTCCAGTGAACACCTGTTGGCTGTATGAGGTTTTTGTGTTAGCCAAGTCCAAAGCATACCCCATTTCTTCACTTTGCTTCTTTTTTCACAGATGCTAGATATTGTGACTACGAGATAACCTGTTTTCTTCTTAACCGTTACGTATTTGGAGTCACCTAGGAATGCCCTGTTTTGCCATTTGGTTGTGTTTGGTTTTGCTATCTTGTTCTTTTTTTCCTCTGTTTTGTATTGCCTTAGAATTCTCTAGGTAAATGATTAAAATTTTATCTTTAATCATCTTGAGTTATAAAGCATTTCAGTGGCTAAAATTTATAGTATGGTAGCATTTAATGTATTTTGTATCTAAATCCTAGTTGATTTTCTTTTTTTAACGAATAAAGTCAGTTGAAGTTTGTTCTGTTAAATAGGATGATCCATATGGGTGAGTTTATTAATACTGAAATAAATTTTATGTAAATGTTTTAATTTTTGTGAAAATTCACTGAGAGACACTTTGCCATTAACCCCTTTGAAAATACTCTCTTTTTGAACATACTTAGGCCCCTTGTTCTTGCCACTTTCTGAAGCAGTTCTGGAAATCTTTCATATCTTCTAAGATATGATCAAAAATTTGGTGAAAGCTGCTGGCTAGTGCCATCCAGTGGCAAGGCAGGCTCATAAAAACATGACATGTCCTCATCTACCTTATTTGCCAGGAAATTTCTGGCTCCTTCCCAAAATCAAAATGAACACGAAAGGTAAATATTTTGAGCTAATTCAGGGCATCAAAACAGCCGTGACAGTATAGTTAAAAATACTTAGGAATGAAGACTTCAAAAACTGCTTTGAGAAGTGGCAAGGACACTTGGATTTTAGTTTAGTGTATGGTGAGAGATAAGAGTCTAAAAGCAGTCTTCTGCATATGGATAGCCAGGTTTTCCCAGTACCACTTGGTAAAGAGGTAACTTTTCTGCCAGTGTTTTTTACCCATTTTTCAAAGTTGGTTTCTACGTCCTCTATTCTCTGTACATATAATGCTTTTTTTTAACACTGCCTTTGCAGTATAATTTGAAATCTAGAATTTGCCTCTTGCTTGGCTCTTGTTACCCAGAATTGCTTTTGCTATCCTGAATCTCAAGTCTCTTATTTCATATGAATTTCAGGATTGTTGTCTCCTGTTCTGTGAAGAATGCAATTGGTATTTTGATTGGGATTATAGTAAATCTGTGTATCAGCTTTGGAAGTATCATCATCATCCCCTCCCGCTTTTTTTCTCCTTCCTTTTAATAGGGTCTTACTGTGTAGTCTAGGCTGGCCTTGAACTTGCAGCAGTCCTCCTGGCTCAGTGTCCCAAGTGCTGGGATTATAGACATTATGTCCCCATACCTGGCTAGTATGACCGTTTTTACCATGTTGGTTCTGCCTATCCAGAAACATGAGATACCCATTTTCTGATGTCCTTTTCAATCTTCTTTTTCAGCGTACTATAGTTTTTGTTGTAGAGGTTATTTCCTTGGTTGGATTAATTCCTGAGTATTTTTATGCAATTTTTGACTAATACTTTTCCTAATTTCTTTCTTGGTGAGATTATTACTGTTATACAGGAATGCTGTTTTGAATCCTATTCCACTACTGAATTTGGTTGTTAATTGTAAGAACTTTGGTGGACTCTTTTGGGTCTTCTATGTAGAGAATCATGTCATCTGCAAATAATTATAATTTGACTTTTCCTGCATATATTTCTTTTCTTTCTCTCGTCTGAATGTTGTATCTAATGTTTTGAGAACTATGTTGAAGAACTGTGATGTGAACATTCTCGTGTCGTTCCTCATGTTAGGAGAAAAACTGAGTTTTTTCCCATTTAATACAATGTTGGCTGTTGATTTATCATAAATCCCCTTTATTAGTGAAAAAACATCTTTCATCTGTTTTCTTTACAGTTTTTATCCTCAGTGGATATTTGATGTTTGTCAAAGGCTTTTTCTGTGTCTATTGAGGTGATCATGTGATTTTTTTTTTTTTATCCTCCTCTTTATGTGATGTGTTACATTGATTGATTTGCGTATGTCAAACCATCCCTCTACCCCTGGGATGAAACCTACTTGGTCATCATGTATGATCTTTTTTATTTATTGTATTGTTTGCCTGTATCTTGTTGAGGATTTTTGCATGTATGTTCCTTAAGATTGACCTGTAGTTCCTTTTTATGGCTGGCATTATCCTCTTCTGGTTTTGGGAAAAGGGTAATGCCAGCTTTCAGGAATGATTTGGTTTTCCAGGAATGATTTTAGTTTCATTAATTTAGTGATAAATTTGTAAGGTCCTAAGCTTTTCTTGCTAAATTAGTAGTTTTTGTTGTTATTGTTCAATTTCTATAGTGAATATTGGATTATTCTAAGTTTTTGTATCTATATGTAGATGTATATAGGAATCTGTTTCTTAGAAATTCTCCAATTTATTGAGAATAGATCCTCAAAATAGTTTTGAGTTTTGTAGATTTGGGCAGTCTATTATGATTTTGCCTTTTTTATTTCTAATTTCATTGATTTTGCTGTTTTGCTAAGATTGGTTAAATTCTTTCAAAGAACCAGCTCTTTAGTTCATTTGGTTCATTGTATGAATTTTTAGTCTCAGTTTCATTAATTCCTACTCTGATCATTATAATTTCATTCTTTGTATTAGCTTTGGATTTGGATTGTTCTTGTTTTCTAAGAACTTGAGTTGCATCATTCGTTTTATTAGAACTCTTTTTCTGATATGGGCATTCACAGCTATGAACTTTTCCTTACATGTCATAAGTTCCGTGATATTTTACTGGCATTATCATTTGTCTCTAGGAACTAATGTGTTAGCATTTTTTGTAACCCATTGATTATTCAAGAATATATTATTTTTCTCCATATGTTTGCATAATTTCTCTGATTTCATTTGATTTCTAGTTTCATTGTACCATGGTTGATAATATATATGGAATAATCTTATTTCTTTTGCTTTGTTCCTCCTGCTCCTTTTTGATTGGTTGATTGATTGTGGGGGAGTTTTGGGGGGGTTTTGTTTTTGTTTTGAAACAGGGTCTCACAGTACAGTTTAGGCTGATCTTGAACTCACTGTACAGCCCAGGCAGGTCTCAAATTCACAGCAGTCCTCCTATCTCAGCCCTCAAATCCTGGGATATGTGCATGTGCTACCATGCTCAGCTCTTTTGCATGTATTTAAGCATATTTTATTTCCCCATCCTTAGAAAGTCTTCTGATCTTCTGTAAATGTTTTTCTACCAATACTTCTGATTTTTCATTAACATTAGTCATTTTTGCATTAACAAACAGCTGCTAGATCTATTTTTCATGTTCTGTTGTTTTAAAGGTACAGCATCTCTGAATAATTGGTCTCTGAAAGTAGGCCTCACTTGTAGTTCTGACATTTAGTCATACATTGGTCACTTTTCAATAGATTTTTTTTTTTATTGTCCTGGATATCTGCTTAGTATCTTTTTATGGGCTCCTAGTTCTTTGCTAAACTTGTCATTTATGTTTTATATCATTTTCTTTAGCTCATCTAGCTTTTTCTTAATGTATTCTGTAATCTTGCTGGTTTTGTTTATTAAATTCATTGTTTAGTTATGTTATCTTCTAGCTGGTTGAACACCATATTGTGTTCTATTATCTTTTCAAATAATTTATAGTTCCTTTTCTTGGTGCTGATTCAAAATGCCCACAGCCTAAAGTTGAGGGAGGAAAAGATTTGTTTTGGCTTGCAATCTGTAGAAGTTTCCATCCATAATCAGCAGGCTTCAAAGTAGTATGGCATGGCAGAGGGGCATTGCAGAGAAGAAGCTATTCATGATGGGCAAGAAGCATAAAGCAATAAAAGATGAGCAACCACAGCAGCCCTCTGTTCTTTGTATTCCTTCCAGGTTGTGAGCAGGTAGCACTCACACTGAAGGAGGGCCTTCCCATTGTCCATTCTCAAAAGTATGCTAAACTAATGAGTGGATTAATTTAGTAATCACCCGCTTGATGCCAGCATCACACGCTTTAGATCCAGCCCCCTTTTGAACAACTTAATCTGTGACTGCATGGTTTTTGGGGGGGACATCTAGACACAAGCTTAAACAGTGTCTTGATTTCTTTCCTTTCCGTGTGCCCCCATGGATCAGCTTTTAGGGAGTTATTAGAGACTTTTTTTTTTTTTTTTTTTTTTTTGCCTTCTTGTGTTTCTATTGTATTTTTTGATTGTTTTTTTTTTTTTTTTTTTTTTTTTTTTTTTTTTTTTGCTGACATTTGCATGTTGATTACACTAGAAGAACTTTGTTGCCAGTAGGGAGATCCTTTTAGTTAATGTTAATGTCTGCTTTTCAATGTTGCACTCTGGATGTGACCAACTGTAGGCCTTTGCCTCTGTACTCCAGCTAATTTAGGAAGAGACAATGCAGAGTAACTGGCCCAGCTCCCAATTCTGTAGAAATAGACAGCAGTATTGTTAGGAACACAAAAGTAATCCAGATATTGGCATAGAAAGAAAACCTGTTGGTAGCAACAACTGTGCCACCTTGGTAGTAATAGTAAAATCACCATCAATAATAGTGTCAAAAAGAAACTGGAGACTGATAACATAAGAACCAATAGTGTACCATTCAAAACTATAGAGAAGAGACTAATGTATAAAAACTGGGACAAATCAAATTTTGACATAGAGGAATAAAAGCAAATTAATAGAATTGGATAAACTAGCAAAAGAACAAACAAGAAAAAATTTCTTATTCTCTTAATTTGTACTGCATTTTTCAGCGTGAATTAAGCCAACTCTCTGAAATGTAATGAAGTGTCCAAGTTTATGTGGATAAGAAAAGAACTAAAATGCCAAACTGAGTTAGTGACATTTTCTATAACAGTATAATGCCACTGTTTTGGGTGCAGCAAAATTAAGGATATACAGCACTTTTTAATATTGTACTGAGGTTTTGATTCCATTGGTTCAGATGTGATGATGTTTCTTTTCTGTGTTATGAGTTACTGGCTACTACTCTTTGTCTTTCCACATATCTAAATTCTTCCCTTACTCTAAAACCTTTCTGTGAGCCTTTACTGGGGTTATACCACTGTCACTTTTTAAACTGTAACCTTATGCAAATAATTTATTAAAACTAATTCCTTAGTCTTAGTTGAGTTTCTTGGGGCAGTTAAGGGACAGGGGAAGAATGACATCTTTAATCTATAGTACCTAAAGAATGAAACACAAGAATGGATTAGAATGAGCCTATTGGTAATGTAAACTTAGTAAAGCAAACTATTGGTAAAGCAAACTTAAAAGAATTTGCTTTGGGAACTTTTCTCAGTTGGTAGAATTTGAAGCTGAAGAGCAAATAAAAAGTCATGGTTAACTATTAAATACAAATGCATACCAAATTGTATGCATCAAAGGCAACTAAAATAGTAAGAACCAGAATGATTTCATTTGAAATTTGACTGATGCAACCACGTTCAATGACTTAATGATTACCCAGGCTTTTTTGTTAATTCAACTTGATCTTGCCTCCAACTATCAAGGTGGAAGCCAGCATTGGAGAATGAAAAATGTCAGCAGTGAGGGCAACATGACAGAGAGGGGACACAGCGGCCAGGAGTGGGCAGGAGAAAAGATGGAGAAAGAAGGGAGTCAAATCAAGAGGTAGGAATGGAAACACATAAAGGAATAGAGAGGGGGAGAAAAGAATATAGGTGTAAGTCATTGAAATAATGTCGTGTCATAATTTTAGTGTTTGAATATACTTAGCACTGCAAGAGAATCTTTAAATAGTTGTATTCAACCTTGGAAGAAAGAAGGTGAGCACGATAGAAATTTTTAAATAAAATGTTAAATCATTTTTTAAATTTATGATTAGTAGCAATACATGATTGTTTCTCAACATCGAAGTAATACTTGAATCATTCCTGTGGGACATTTTTCTCTGTGCTCTGCATATATAGTGTTAGTTCATTAATTCTCACCACAATTTTAGAACAAAAGCAAGTACTATTTCTCACATTTTTATACATGCAGAAACTGAGCCACAAAAAGAATAAGTAATTTTCCTAGACTAATCAAGTAACAGAGCCAGGATTTCAGAGACAGTCTGACTACTGTGTCACCACTGGCTTCATCAGTCTCCCTGTCCCTACCCCTGATTTGTATGTGTATTTCTTTAGAAATTTGTCTTATTTTGAAATAAACTTATTTAATCAAACAAGCCAAAATGATAATCTATGTCTAGTCTTCCTCTAACAGTATCAGTGTGGCCAGCTGTGGTGGCACATGCCCATAATCCGAGTACTCAGGAGGCTGAAGCAAGAGGATAATTGTGAGTTCCAGACCAGCTTGGGCTACAAAGTGAGCTCAAGGCAGGCCTGAACTGCATAGTGAGACCCTGCCTCAAAAATAAACAAACAAATAAATAAATAAATAGTGTGAGCTTCAGCTTCAAATCAAGTTTGTGCATGCCAGTAAATGTTTATTGTCTGTAAAAGTATGCTCATTTTTAAAGGCCATAGAGCAACTAATAATACCTATATTTTTATTACCAAACCTTTTGGAATTCTTTTTAAGCCTCACAATAAATTCTGCCTAGTACCTAGGTATAGTATTAGTCATACTTAAAATTAAAAGCTCACATGGAGATTCACCAAGTGTCTAAAAAGATGTTTTGTTCTGTTCTATTTTTGACACCTCTGGTGAAGTAAAATATTTATAAATTATGGAGGAGGAAATTTGAATGGAATTAATGGATTTTACCAGTAACTTCAGAAAAATGTTAGGTATTAGTGTTGTGCTAGAGAAAGATGAGAATTGAGAGAAAAAAAAGGCTTCTGTGAGGAGTGGAGTCAGTAAACCAGGAATGTATATTGATAATTGTTGTTTTGCTTACTGAATACTTAATGTTTAGAATTATTTATAGAACTTTATAGAGTCATTAGTGCTCATTCTCTGTTTCCTTTGACATTATCTTAGAAGAAAAGCTGTGTAGTTTAAAAGATTTTATATCTATATATTGAGGGTTACAGTTACTACTGATTGAAAAAGTAAGAAGAGGATAGAGCTATGATTTGGAATCCTTTAAGGTTTACCAGGAAAAGTTCATTGGGGACTTACATTAAGTGCTTTTGTGGTAAAGAAGACAAATGCTGAGGCCCAGCATGGTGACACACATCTGCAATGCCAGCACTCAGGAGGCTGAGGCAAAAGGATTACAGAGTTTTGAGGACAAGTTGCACTTCGTAGCAAGACACTGTCTCAAAAAAGAAAAGAAAGCAAGCAAGTAAAAGAGGAAAAATTCTGTATCATCTGGTACTTAGTGGGAAAAAATTTAAGTATTGCTTCATTCTTTGTTTTAGCATTTAAAGGTTGGATTAGGTATGCTTCCCTTAGTCATGAACAAGATATTAAGTGTGGTTGTAGAACACTAAATATGTTCATTTTATTAAGTGTTTCTTGAATTTCTTATGTAGGCATTCACTCTTAGGTTTTCATTGTAGTATTTGAAATATTTCTGTATTTCTATATTTGATTTCTATATCGGTGTCTTTATACACTATCCATATCTAATATAAACTCACTGCTGTTTCAGACTGACTCTCAAGCATTCTTTTTCTTTCCTGTCTTTTTCATGTTTTAATTTTTAAAGGGGGGGAGTAAGCTGAAATCTGTATTGAAATTAAACAGCTTATTTAGGGTGACATTTCTGGTTGTTGAGAGTAGTAATAGCTTTCTGTCACTCTTAATGAAAAACTGGTGGTCCTTATATTTTGGCTCATGGCTCTGGAATTTCTATCTCTTGGCCTCATTGCTTTGGGAATTTGGTAAAGGCAGCATGTCATGATAGAGCAAATTGTTCATTCATGACCAGAAAGCAAAGAGAAAACAGAAGCAAGATCCCACAATCCCTTTGGGAGAGATGGCCCCTATGACCTAAGAACCTCCTACTAGCTCCTACCTTCTAGAGATTCATAGCACATAGTATGCCCACCCTAAGGACTAGACCTTTTACAACATGGATTTTGGGGATACATTCAGTTGCCACTCTACAGAAGGAGCCAAATTCATTTTATTTTAGATCTATTTTAAGTTTTGTGCCATAAAAAGGAAACTCCTTGGAGTCATTTTTATTCCATTTGTTCATCTGCAAATGCACTTGTAGTACAGAAAGTCTTCAAAATCCTGTGATTAAATTTTACAGCTTTTTTTTAGTTGAGGGGGTGCCAGGAATTGAACTTAGGACCTCATGCTTACCAGGCTGGCACTGCACCACTGAGCTATATCCCTCAGAAAAGGTTCTACCTTCTCTGTATCAGAAATTTTCTCTTTATGTAAGAATTTTGCCTTTGTGCACCTCCTGTTTGGTGTTACTTCAGTAGTGATTGATGAGATGTAAGATACAGTGAAACCTAGACAAATAAGTACCTGAATCTTAACATTTAGAAATTATCTTTCCATGAGGAATTTATGTGTAATCTTAAAGACATTTGAGTTCAAAGTATGTCTAGTTTCTGAATCATTCCTGGTTTATTACTAATTTGGGGGTAAATATTCAAAAGTCATGTTTCTCTAAGTCATTCTTTGTAGTGCTGTGTTCTTGTACTTCTGTGTCAAAAACCTAACTTACACAGGTAAATGGATGCAACTTGAGACCTTACTCATAAGTGAAATTAAATTCACATTTATAAATACCATATAGTCTCCCTGGTGTGAGAAACTGAAAGATTAAGTAGGTCCAAAATGTACAACAGGCATTGTGAAATGGGAAGAAATTGTTAAAAAGAAAGAAGGAATAGAATTGGGGGAAAGAAAGGAAGGGAAAAGGGGGGAAAAAATTCAAGATAGTTATTCTACTAATATTTCTCAGTTCATTGAAAAGAAACGTTTGTGTTGATAGCCTTTGGAGAATTGTTTATGCCTGTATCTCATACTCTTGCGTCACTACTTGAAAGGTTGCCACAACCTGTGCAGCTCTTGAGCTTCTTGGGGTAAAGGACCACGAGAGGTTGAGAAAACAGAGATAATGATGGAGTTAGAAGGAGGCTACTCTCTGGATAGCAGGAAAGGAACTGCCCCTCACTGTATGGGCATTTATCTATACATTTAGCAACACAGTGTTATGTGGGATCCCTTTGCCTGGCAACCCATTGCATGGATTGTCTTAAGGGTCTTAGTGTTTTTCTGGGCTGAAGCAGCTTCAGTGGGTTGCCCTAAGCGGTCTTTGTTCTTGGGATGGCGTGTCCCTGCCCTGCCTATGTGGTTAATTTCCAGCTTCAGTGACTCCCAACACATATCTCATACTCCTGAGTAACTACTTTAAAGATAATAATACACAATGTTACATTACACAAAATAACAGAACACAAATTGCTGTTCTATTGTTAGGAAGTTTTACTTTATTTCTCATTTAAAAAAGAAAGAACCAAACTTAACTCTAAAAACTTTAAATAAAAAAAGCTATTTTCTGGATCTCCATTTAGCAAAATTCCTATTGGTACTGGTTTATATTACATGAGTATGCCCTGATTTTTAGCTGAATTCCCACCTTATTTCGCTGTATGAATTCTTTGTTTTTTGGTTTTGAGGTTTTTTCTGTTTCTTTTGGTTTGGTTTCTTTTCTTCTTTTCTTAAACAAGATTGTGTGGCTGTTAGCCATGGAATGAAATACTGCTTTACTTATATGACCATTAGAAAGTGGTGACTTTACATAGGGATATAGTGAATATACTTTACCCCCCTTTTTATCTTTTTTTAAAGCATACCATCGTCTTTCCACGAGTTGGGTTTTTTTTTTTTTTTTAATACTTACATGATGTGCAAAGTAATAGTGCTTAAACTTTCGTTTAGCTAAAGTATAAATGTTTCCTTCCTTTGCTATTCCACTTGCAAAAGAAGTAAAACAAATTTTATACACTGGGATAGCTAGTTGTATTTATTAAAACTCTGGGTATGGAATGATAGTAGAGCCCATGCTTAGTGTACATAAGGCCTTGCGTTCAATCTCAGCACCAAAAAAAAAGACATCAATTTTGTCATAGCCCAATATAGAAAATATACTATTAATATTGCATTCCTTCCTTACGAGCCTCCCTCATTAAAGAGTAGAGGATTTTCCCCAAATGTACTTAATTTTTAAATTGGATTTTTCTATTTTCTGCAGATAATATCACCTACTGCATTATTTTTGGCTGCAAAAGTAGAAGAACAGGCTCGCAAACTTGAACATGTTATCAAAGTAGCACATGCTTGCCTTCATCCCCTAGAGCCACTGCTGGATACAAAATGTGATGTATGTAAAATTCATTTTTTGGGTTTTCTTTTGTAAATTTGAAACTTGCTGTTTATTTTTATTGCCACTTGGAAATAATAACAGGCAGCCACCTGGCAGAAGCAGCTTGTGAATTTGGATGTCATTCTGAATAAGGTTTTAATTAAAAGTCATTTTAATTATTTCATATTTTGTTGTTTATTCTCACAGCAAATTGTGATATATGTAGAGCGTAAGACATGATAGGTCTACATTACTGGAGACCAGAAGTCAAATAACTCTTAAATGATTAACAGATACAGGAATAGAAAAATACTGAATTACTTCTAGACTAGCAATTAGTCTTTTTAAAGAATTGTTCTATGTAGGGGACAGTGATACAGTGCCTGCCTAGCAGGTGCAAGGTGCTGAGTTCAATACCCGGTACCAAACAAACAGGAAAGAATTATTCTATTAAAAATAGAAGCAGGAATTGTATGCTTTTAAAATAATTTTCCTACCATTACTATAAAAGGTTATTGGGAACCTTTATCCATTTTGTGATTAAAGATTATGTTAATTCATTTTGAGTTAGGTCAATTAATGTCCAGATTAATTTGAACTCTGATAGAAATGTGTCTGATTTTATTAATGAAAAGCCTTGTCGTAGATGTTGGCTTTAAGAAAGTAAGATATTGATGTAATGAAGAACTTGTGATTATTCAAAGATAGTTCTTAAAGTTTCTCTTGCTGTTTCAGACTTAAGATTATTTCTAATGAATGCTTGGATTTATTGCTTAGATACTACAAATCCAGTAAAAGTCAGTTTAGTCACCTTTCAGAATGGAGCATAAATAAAATTTCAGGTGCCTTCAGTATCTGAGTTTAATAATAAGTCCTTACAAAATGATTATGTATGTGTAATATATTATTTCTTTACCATCTGGGTTAGTTGTGATCTGAGAATAGGATGGCAGAAAGTTTTATTCTAAATATTGCAGCAGAATAATTTCTTGAAATTTAGGGAGGAAATTCTCTAACATTTATGTCTCTGGATATGCTGTTCTGATGTTTTATATCAGAATTTATTTAATCTAGAAATTTGAGGCTTAGTCATCTTCCCTAAGATGACAATTCTGAAAATACTTCTTTACTTTGATCCGGGAATTGCCACATGAAGTGGCACAATCTGAATTAGCAAACCGTAGTGCTTCTCTAGATAAAGTTCTTACAGTGATGTTGAACCTTTTAGAGCTTTCAATGCCATAAGTTTACCACCAGTGAGTAGATCGTATAGATCTTGTTTTGTTTTATTTTTGAAATAAGATCTCATATGTAATTCAGGCTATCCTTGACTCATTGTATAACCCACATTGGCAGCCTCAAACTCTCAGCAATTATTCTTCCTCAGCCTCTTGAGTGCTGGGATCATGGGCATGGGCATGTGCTACTATGTGTGCCCAGTGTAGATCTCCTTTTCAGTTAGCCTCCCTTTATGTGTTACTGTCTCTGGGGGTGGGGTTTATTTTGCCTTTGTTTGCATGCCCTGTAGTAGAAAGTGATTTAGTTTAGACTTGTCACAGCAATTAGATATTCCTCATCTCCCTCACTTTATTTCCTCCTTATTCTTAAGCTACTGTAGTTCTTTTATAGTCAGTCTGTAATTGCAGGAGAGCTAAGTCAGTTACTCTAATTAGTGTTGCATTTTTCTTAAGCATTTTATTATTTTTATCTGGCAGGCTTACCTTCAGCAGACTCAAGAACTGGTTTTACTTGAAACCATAATGCTACAAACACTAGGTATGTACTTACCTCAATTATTTTGTGTTCTTCAGTGTAATATTGTAAATATGTATGATTTGTAGAATAACTTTATTATTGAAGAAAGTTATTTTCAGACAGGTTTTTAGACCCAAATACTATTACCTGGTTAAAAGGGAACCATTTTTCTAAAATTCAGTTTCATTTGGCATAATTAACTTAAATGGTAAACATAGCCTGAATGTGATTTCTTTGGTTTTGGGATCATTGAAGCACTGTGCTGGATTTGGACTAGAGAGTACTTCAGGGCAATTCTTGCTCTCAGAACTACTAGTATTTAATGAATATATCACATATTTTTTTTTAACTTGAAATAATAATTTAAATGCTCTTGTTCTAAAAGTTTTCTTTATATGCAAAGTTTACTCTTTCACTATACTAATGAAGAAAAAACAGACCTGAGATGGCTATGACTTGTTAAAATCATGTTCTATTTAAGGAAGAATATGGTAAGGTATGATAAGATAAATGTGCTTTCAAATGAGTCTAATTCTAAATCTGTAGACCCCTGACTTGCTCTGTATAAACTAGGGCAAAATTTCTTGACTTGTTATACTTCCCTTCTGTGGATGTGAAATAATAATATCTGCTTTATATCACAAAGGTAGATTCTTATTATAAAAACAGCTTGTTTAAAATATATATAATAAGACAAAAATAAAAGTGAGATTTACTTGGCATGTTGTCATTTTATACAAAATAATATGTTTGTGGTAAGTTATGAACACTTACATGATAGCATTTTAAATGAAAAATTACAAATTGCATAAAATATCTCTACATTATAACTACATTATCAGAAGATACTATAAAGTTTTGTTTTGGTGTTTTGCTTTGTTTCACTTTGTTTTGTTTTTGAGACAGGGCCTTGCTAAATTGCCTGGGCTGGGCCTAAACTTGTGATCATTGCATTTCAGCCTCCCTGAATACCAGCAATATAGACATGGACTACCATGCCTGGCTTATAAATTATTTTTATTATATAAAGAAATGTAAAGGCTGAAGTTACAGTTTATTGGGAGAATGTTCACACAGCATGTGCAAGACCTTAGGTTAGATTTCTAGTACCATTAAAAATAATAACAACATGAGGTCATTTGGTAGCTGGGCAAAGTGGTGCATGCCTATAATCTCAGGTCCTTGAGAAACTGAGGAAGGAGGATCACAAGTTTGGGGTCAGCCTGGGTAACCTTAGTAGACCCTGTCTTTAAAAGGAATATAGCTCAATGGTCTCCTGGATTTAATACTCAGAAAGAAGGGAAGTAATGTACATTGTTTATAGCACATTCTGAAACATGGAGACTGAATAACATTTTAAGGGAACATTAAAATAAAATTCTAGCTGAAATACCTCTATGGTTTTATAAAGTATTTTACATGTTTAATTGCAGAGGAAATAAAAATTACACAACTGCTTCATAAATCCAGATTACCCATTGTTACTTTTATTTACTTACTGCTTCTGAAGGCACTAGCCCCTTTTAATAAAAGAAAAAAACCTGATGTCAGAGATGGTTGATTGGACATTGAAAGATTTTCATCATTTTATCTTTGGTTTAGAAACATTGATTTAAAGAACTATGAGACCTACATAATTCACTTGCCATGATTTTTGGTACAGTAATAATGAAGTCTTAGTTATGAGCTATTTGAAACCTGTTAAACTGACACACAGTTAAGGGACTGTTATTGAAAAGTAATTTCTACCGTTGTCCAAGAGTTATGTTTATGAATAATGTTTTTTCCCATCTTCTGAAACAAAGATTCAGAATATTAGAAAAGATACTAACGTAGTTGAATACCCCGCATAAACTGTAGAAAATTTAATATATAATTGTTATTTGCTGTGATTTTAACTTGTTTTTAACTTAAAGATAATTCCAAGTTAGTTATTCAGAATTTTGAATAACACTACCCTTGTCATTAACTATTTTCCTAGTTGAAACATTGTAGTTCTCATTTTTAGAGGTGTAGTGAACAATATTGTACCTTCAAAAGTGATAGAGAAGCTTTAAAAATTTTGTCTTTAGGCTTATCTTAATTGCAAAGACAGTCTTACAGATTTATGGTTGTGTGGTAAATGGGTATTTCTCTAGCAAGCATGTAGTGGTAAGTGGTTGGGGAAAAAAATGCTTATAATTTCAGGTTTTGAGATCACCATTGAACACCCACACACAGATGTGGTGAAGTGCACCCAGTTAGTAAGAGGTAAGTCATCTTAGAAATTTTTAAAATAAATATTACTGCTTTTGTCATTTATAAGTGGTTTGGATGGTATTTTGTTCTTTGGTCTTTGGTTGAGTTTTATCAAAATAGGGTAAACATTATTTTGAAGCATTTTTTTAGTGTTCTGCATCTTGTTTCTACTCAAGCATTAGTTTCCTTTAAACTTGTATGAGAATATTGGTTCACTGAAAAATTGGAGGACTCCCAAGTAATAGGAATCCTTCCCCATTGGACTATACCACTCCCATCCCAGTTAGTATTTATATCGTAAACCATTAATACACTGGTGTGACTAGCACTGTTCATTTCTTATTGATACCAAACTTTCATTGTCTTCTTGGAAAGTGATAATAATTTAAGAATTTTGAAGTCAGGCTCTTACCTTTCAGATATCAGTTGCCTTTATTTAGTAATTTGTCATTTTTGGAAATAGTTTTCCCATATTCATTTAAATAAAATTGATTTACTACATTTTTAAAAAGTTCTTTAGCATTTCTAAAAAATGGTTTTCTTTTCCTTTAAATGGAAAAATAACTAAATCATACATTTTGTGATAAATAGGAATATGAAAGTTTTGTATATTTGCTTTATTGCACATAAAGCATGTGCTACATTTTTCTACTCATATCAGTAAATTGTGTGTATCTGTTGTTGTACTCCTAGAAATACTTTTTACATAGCTGCATGTCTGCCTCTTCTGCTTTCCTGTTACCCATTTGAAATGTTATATACTCACAGCAACCTTTCAGACCTCTAGTGTACTTTTTTCTCTTCCTTTTTAAATAAAATTTTGCAGTTTCATTCTTTTGCTCCCAGTCCTATAGGTTTACTGAAGGCAAAATGAGTAAGACTTTTGAAGGTCTTACTTTGTTTTTAGTGTTTATCTAAATATTCTCACATTTTATTCATCCTAAATTGAATTCATTTTATACTTAGATAATGTTTTACGTTGATTGCTTCTTTAAAAAAAAAAAAGATGATAAGTAAAGGATAGATGATAAACTGGGCGTAGTGGCACATGTCTCTAATCCCAGCACTCGGGAGGCTGAGGCAAAAGGATTGTTGTGAGTTCGAGACCAGCCTGAGCTACAGAGTTTGCTCAGTGCCAGCCTGAACGCATAGCAAGACTGTCTCAAGAAAGACAAAAAAAAAAAAAGAAGAGTAGATGGTAACTAAAGAATAGAATTCTAAAAAGATCTCATTTCCATTTTTATCTTAATAGCACACATTACCACTAGATCACTTTACACACTAGAATGTATTTAACTTACAGTTTTTAGTAATTATTATATAAATGTATTTTATAAAATATAAATATTCTGTAGTACACTCTCGCCCCCAGTATTACAGTGTAAGTACAGAATTATATAACTAATCATAGATGATGAATTAAGAAAAAAATTATAGTTTTATTTTCCTGAAGATTGCAAAGGACAAGCTAAGCTTTGTAAGAAAAATAGAACTATATAATCTACTCTAAGTTGAGAACCTAATGAAAAAGGGTATTAGATGAAGAAAGATATTAGTGTATGCTTTTAAAAATCATGTATGTATATTAGCTCATTAAGAAACAAAGCTAGATTTTAAATCATTCACAAAAGTTACAGATTTGATACATCAGACAAAAGAAAGCATTTAAATCTGATTCTGTCGTTACTACTAATGTTTAAAATGTGACATGCTTAAATTTGAGTTCAGACCATATATGTTATAATCTCATTTTGTCTGACTAACATTTCAGGTAACTATAATTATCTCTCACTCCATTTAAAAAAATGTTCTTTCATGTTTGGTGTCTGCTTTTCTTTGCTCTGTTACCACTTTCAACTAACAGAAGAACATTTCCCTTCCATTCTTAACAGTGATAGTAGATTATTGAATTTAGATACATTCCTAGGTGAAAACTGCTATAGCAATTTAAAGTGATTTTTCTTTTTCTATATGTTTTTATTACTTTGTGGGAGGGGTACATAAATTTAATTTCTGTAAAGTTCCCCCCTCCATGAGAAAGTTGATATTGTGCTACTTTGGTACAGAATTGGCTATTGTCATTTTCCAGGGACCTTTCATTTCTGTGATTTCTCCTTCCCTCCCCACCAGGAAAGAATGCCACACTTAAGTCACACTGCCTCCAAGACATCTGATGCTTTGACACTCTTCCTTAGTACAACTCTGCCAAACCCAAATCCCTTTTGTAAAACCCTTATGTTGATGATCCACATGGGGCAGCAGGGATTACAGGTGCCAAGAATAAGGGGGAGGTGGGATTTGAGCCCTGTTGCAGATGGGTGGCGTTGAGATGAACTAGTAGAGCAGTGGTTTTGAATGTATTCTGGGTAAAAATGAAACTATAGCAAGGATATTCCTGTTGGAAAGAATAATATCAAGCAGAAAAAGTTGGGGGGAGGCTGTTTTCAGTCCTTAAGAGACTGCTTAAAAATTGTTTTTCTGTTGGGGACCAGTGTTGAAGCATCCTGAATCACCCTTTAGGACTTATATCTTTTCTAAGTGTTATCCTTAATTGGATTCCATAAATTTTCTTTAAAAATAATACAGTGGCACTTATATCTACACACTTATGATGTTTCTAGGTTGTTTATTCTGTTGATGGTTAATAGCATGAAAAACTGATGAGCAGATTGTGCTCTCTGATTTTGGGAGGGTGGGGGCTTATTTTGTTTTATTTTATTTTGATGGAATTATTTAAGCCAACTTAAATGACTGAAGATTAAGTCTGGCAGGCAACTCTGTATTTTGTATTAGACTTCAAAAATCTTTTCTTCTTCTTCTTCTTCTTTTTTTTTTTTTAAATCCAGGAGAATGCTTTATTTCAACTTTTAGCTGACTAGATGCTTAACTTAGTAACAAGTTTAGCCCTTGTAACTGGCTAGCTAAAAGCAAATCGGCTTGTTTCTCAGATCTTTGGGGGATAGCAAGAAACATTTGAGTGAATGTTGTTGAAGATTTTCAGTAGTATAGAAAATGATGGCGCTCTTGTGATATTTGTAAGTAGTAAGTAAAATTTACTTTTTGTGTACAAATCTTTGAAGTTTTGTTGTGTTGAGAACTTTTTGATGGTAGCATGTTAATGCTGATAGTTTTGTCTTCGTTTTTTTTTTCTTTCTTACAGCAAGCAAGGATTTGGCACAGACATCCTATTTCATGGCTACCAACAGGTTGTTATCCTGACCCTCTTTGTTGCACTGTTGTAGCACACTATAGCTTCCTTTAATGCAGGGCCCCCTCAATGTGTCTCTTACCCTTGTTGCAACAGGAGACTGGACCATCTACTGTGGTGGTACCTTCCTGTTTGCTTTGCGGTGTATTGTACAAGGGACTTTGGGCACAGAGGGGTTAAATGCACAATGTGAAGTGTAGTGGTGCTTTCTGATGACATATTCTCGATTTGTGAGTGCATAAGTCTAAAAATTGGTAGCCTGAATAGCAGCTAAAGATTACAAAGAGCTAAACTTAACGTAGAAACTCGAGCAACTTGGTAAGTATAAAGCTATTTCTAGTTTACAATTATAGTTAAATGACAATTTTTTTTTAAATTTCACATTTATCCAATCTAAATAGTCATTAAAGTTTTTAAATAAATAAATTTATATAACTGGGGTGGGGGGGGTTCCAGATAATACAAACGAGAATTAGAAGTAGTCAAATTGTTCAATTCCTGGGTTTGCATAAATACAATTTTTACTTCTGTAAGTTTCAAAAATTTCCTTTTCAGTTTATATAAAACAAAAAATGGTATCTATGATCAGTAAGCATTTCATCAATTCTGAAACTAAACTGGAGAATTAAAGAACTTTATTATCTTAATATATAATTCTGTTCTAGGTTGATATTAAAGATTTAAATTTATTTTTTAAGTGTGCTGTTGGGAAAATGGACCAAACCAGTTTTGTGTGGTCCTTAATTTCTTGTGACCCTGATAAGTTTTATTTAAAATTTTGGATTGGCAGTACCAATATATTTTCTGAAATGTTGGAATTTAACTTCTATCCCTAGGAATTCTGAAGGGGAAAAGACAAATTTAAAACTTTGATCAGAAAGACTAACCCTTCTGTGTTGTGCTACCTGCCCCAATTTTAAGTATATAGTAAAAGAGTATTAGTATTTTTGTTAGCAATAATGGTCCATGAAGTTGTTTTTTCAAAAAGGTAAGTTCCCTGTGGGGCTTTGTTGGAAAAAACAGCACTTTATGTATATAAAAATGAGAAATGTTTTCTTTGATTTCCTAAAGAATTATGCCTTCGCCACATCAAATGTTATAATCCTTGGTTATGATGTGACATTGAAATTACTGTTTTACAAAGTCTTTTTAAATTATATTTTTGCCATGACATTAGACAAGAAATAAAAATACCAAAAATTCTTATTTGTGTCTAGTAATAACTGCAAATATACAATCTTCTTCTTTTTATAAAATACTCTGAATTTAGATATAAAAGCAAAAATTCTGGAATGCTAATATGTTAGTGATAGTAGAGTATCATGTAGTAGAGTACCATGAAGGGTGTGATTCATAATCTACATAGGTTTTTTTCAAATTAGCATTTTTGTTACTGTTAGCTTTTAATAAAATTTAAAAACCTAAAAATTTTATTTTTTTCTTTAATCTTACTTGTAAATATTTTTCTTTGTTTTACATATTTGAATTGTTATGGCACTCCATTTTCAAACCTGCTCTACAACAGTCTGCATCTTACAACCTTCTGTCTTCAGTACAAACCAACAGTGATAGCTTGTGTGTGCATTCATTTGGCTTGCAAATGGTCCAATTGGGAGATTCCTGTGTCAACTGATGGAAAGCATTGGTGGGAATATGTAGATCCTACAGTTACTCTAGAATTACTAGATGGTAAGTGGAAAAATTATTTTTTACTTAGAATTTTTTTAAACTTTTCATTATGGAAAATTTACTTCTCTATAGGTTATTTATTAATAATTGGATTTTAAAAGATAAAGACTCTAATCACATGATCAAGTCCATAGAATGAAAATAAGGTCCATCAGTCTAATGAAAAAACAAACAACTGAGTATATTAACCATCAATGTATATACAAGACAATTAGAATTAGAGCTAAATCATTAAAAAATAGGACTGGGAATGTAGCTCAGAGCCATTCCCAGTACTGCCAGAACGAAAGGAAAACTACAGGGTCCATTAAAAAAATGCATACATCAGGAATAAAAAACTTGTATAAATATTTTAATGATAAATTTATTGAAACATCATGAGATTAATAGAAGTTACCTTTGGCCTCTACAAAGTGGTGACCATTAGCGTCCAGACATTTCTTAGTACATTGAATTGTTGCTTGAATAACCTTGGTCATTGAGATTGCTGCTGTAAGGATTGGCAGGATAGTGAGCTTTCTGCATTATATGACGTACTTTAGGCTCCCCATCAGAGGGTAACACCATGTGTTTAAAAAAAAGTTAATACTATTTTCTTTTCCTGAAGTGTGTATGCATTTTTGGGTGACTATATATATAATGCCTTTTCAGGGTTTTTCAGAGAAGTATGATTTTTTTTTTTTTTTTTTTTTTGTCTTTTTCATCTTTATTGGTTCCGGGGATCGAACTCACGACTGCCTGCTTGCCAGGCAGGCGCTTATGCCGTTGAGCTAAATCCCCAACCCCTCAGAGAAGTATGATTTTAAATGCTATAGATTAATAGGATAAGCATACCCATTTAAAATACATAATTTTCAAATGTATAAACTAAGGCTCAGGCTGTAACTCAGTGGTAGAGCAAGTTTACATGTGTAAGACCCAGGGTTCAGTCACCTGCACTGCAAAATTATAAAAGTGTTGCTGTAAACTCAGAGTTGAGCATTAACTATAGAAGATACTAAACAATAAGCTAAAGATGTTTTTCTGGGTAACCTTTCTTGCTTTTTAGTGCCATTGTTGTCTTGCATTATTAAAAATGAATGGACAAGGGCAAATTGGGATACAAGTTTTATCAATTATAAGCCTGAAATTTAGGAATCTCCCAAATTTGATAAGAAAGGGATTTATCTAGTGAAAAAATAAAATGTTCAAACATGGGAGATTTGTGGGATTAAGACATTTTGATTAGGTGGTGTAGGCTTCAGAAAGGTAACTAGACTGCTTTTATTTGCAACCTGCATCAGATAACATACACAACCAAGGCTGTCTTCCCTACAAAAACACAAACATGGTCATCTTTTTCAAAATTGTAGGAAAAAACTAAGTTTGTAAACCAAGATACCACTACATAACACTTTTTACCTAACTGATAAGACTGAAATGGTATTATCAGATTTTCAACTTACTCTTTTTTGGGTTTTTCCCAGTTCTTTTTACAAAACTGAGATCAGTGAGAAAACAGAATTTTCAGTTGTTACTGTTGCAGACGTATGTTACATGAAGTAGAAGAGAGGATGCTTTAGAGTTTGTTGGCCATAAGATCTCTATAACAACTATAGTCTTTACTGTTGTAGCTGGAAAGCAACCATAAGCAATAGGTTAAAGAATAAGTAAGACTGTATTCCAATAAAACTTTGGTTTAGAAAAACAGGCAACAGGCCATATATGGCTAAAGTATATGTTATATTAGCCATGCCTACTCTTGTTATAAAATAGCTTCTTTCTTAGATCCCTTTGTTTTCATTCTTTTCATCCTTAGTTTCTCCCAAAATATATATTTCATGTCATATTACTACCCCTGATTATACTGTTTTTATTTTTTTAACTGTTAGTATTCTCAGAGTTTAGCTAGAGCAAAGAAAATCTTCAGTGAATTGAAATAACATTGGAAAATCCAGTGGGACTTTTGTACTGTTTCTGTCTTGTAGTTTGAAAATTAGATTTGTTTATTATGTACTGTGTTAACTTTAGCAATCACTAGATTAAGGTATAGTTTTTATAAAAATAATTTATATACATAGTAGAAAGTAAAGCTCACAAAAAGTAACTAATTCACTTTTACAAAGTTACTAGGTAGGGCTCCTTTAAAATTTTTTAAAAGTTACTGGGATTTATGAAACAAGAAGAGTGAGGTAAAAGTCTTTCTACTTCTGTTGTAAGGGTTGAGAGGGGGTTGTTCTCTTTTTAATAATTAATAAACCCTTGTGTATGTTCCTGTAGTTTGTTTGTTGTTTTGCAGTTTATGTTTTGGTTTGGCTTGGCTTTTTTGTTTTTGTTTTTAATTGTTGGGATTTTGCTTTGTTTTGTTTTGTTTCCTTTCATTTGATTTCGTTTCATTTCATTTTGAAGCAGTGCTGGAGAACCGCCCCAGAGTCTGTCACAATTTGGGTACATGCTCTGCCACTGAGCTATACTCCCTGCTGTTAACGTGTGATTTTGTATTTAAATTTTTTCTATATATTGGGGAACAGGACTCCCATTTTTAAACATGCTGTGGTTTTTGTGTGTTGCTATTATATTAACATGTTAAATTATTTATTCCTCTGTTATGTAAAATGTGATAGAGTAGAATAAGGAAAAGTAAAGGTTATATTTTATGTCTACTGTGTTTTAAACTAGAAACTATATGCTTTTAATGCTTGACACCAAGCTGTTAAGAAATTGAGTCAAAACAATTTCTTGTTAAGTAGAAAAATAGTCCTTTTTTTAATCAAATGAGGAACTAAAAATCCAGGCATTAGATTTTTTATTTTATTCAGATTTTATTTTTAAAATACTCGTGAGACTAACATTTGTGAAATTGTCAAGGAAACTGGATCTTGCAAAATTAATTAACAACACTTTCATAAGCTAGGTTTGGATAGTACCATGCCTATAAATATTAATCTTTGGAAAATAGGTCATTTTACTGTAATCCTGAATTTAAGAAAACTGATAGAATTATGGCAAGATAAATTTGCTAATTGATTTCTAGAAAATAGGAATATAGACAGAACTTTTTTTGCATTTAACTTTGAAATATCTTTAAATTTGAAGAGAGTTTCTCTGTAACCATCACTAATATTTTCCTGCTATTAACATGTTATATAGTAGTATATGATTATAAAAGCCAGGAAATTAAAATTTTATAACAATGAAACCACAGGAGCCAGGTATAGTGGTGTGCACGTATAATCCCAGCACTCAGGAGGCTGAAATAAGATTGCCATGAGTTGAAGGCCAGCTTGAACTCACATAGTGAAGCCCTATCTCAAAATAATAGCAATAGTGATAATGATGATAAAGAAGCCCCATAAGTTATATCTGAATTTTTCCATGTTTTTCCCCTGTCCCTTTTGTCTCTTACAGTCTGTGACAGTTATTCAGTCTTTCCTTGTCTTAGATAACCTTGACATTTTGAAAAAATGGCCACTATTTTACAGAACATTTCTTATTTGGGGCTTCTCAAATGTTTTCGCATAACTAGACAGCACTTGAGGGTTGTGGGGGTAAGAATGCTGCAGAAGTAGGTTATGTCCTGTTTGGTACATAATAGAGATAATTACATTGTGTTGCTATATTTTACCACTAATGATGATCACTTGATTACTAGTATTGCTGAACTTCTCAACTGTAAAGTTAGTTTTTCTTGGTAAATCATAAATATCTTGGGGAAGATATTGATTATTCTAAAAATACTTTTCCTCTTTTGCCCACTTTTTAAAAATCCATTGGATCGTTCTTTCCTATGATTACTATATTTGCTAGTAGCATAATATTATGAATTATTTTGCCTAATAGAGTTTTTTAATGGGAGAGATGTATATTTTTAATATTGTTGAATTTTCCATAGATTCTAAGTGTGCAAGTAAAATCAGAAGGGGAAGTGTTTTTTTTTAAAAAAAGACCCAGTGTTGGGCTAGAGTAGTTCATTGGCACAGTGCATGCTTAGCATGTGTGAGACCCTGGATTAAACAAATAGTCCACTTCTTCACATGCTCAAAATTGAACAAGGTTGATAATACAGTGGCATCTTACTGCACAAATTTAGTTTTTTTCATGATTCTGGTCACAGAATTCTTTCTACAAATCTGGCTGCAACTGAATTTCTGAAATGAATTAAATTCATGAACTGAGGTGCTACTATAATAAAGATGAGCTCATCAGGTTCCTTTTTTAATATCACCCACTTAAGAGAAATTTAAATCCTAAAGATTATCTTCTAAGTTTTAAATTTAAATTTTATTTTTAGAGCTAACACATGAGTTTCTACAAATATTGGAGAAAACGCCTAGTAGGTTGAAGAGGATTCGAAACTGGAGGGTAAGAGTATTGGCAGGATTTAACAGAATTAGTTTGTCACTTATCTAACAATTATATATAGCTAATTTTAAATTGTATATTGAATAATTTTCAGCTTTCCTAAAATCAGTATTCTATAAGCTACATATATTATAGTTTATTAAATTACTATATCCAGTAGGATTTCTAAGTGTACTATCCATTTTATTTTTAAATCTCACAGTGATTGTGATAGAAATATTTTTGTTTTATGAATGAGGAAGCTATAGCCTAGACAAATTAAATTACTATATAAAATAGTAGGTTAGGATTTAATTTGTATCTAATTCTAAAATCAGTGCTTTCAGAGCCTTCTGTTATGTTTCATATATTTATTTACTGGCAGTATAAAACCTTGAGTCATGGGTGATTTTATTTTCATATATTTAAAGTAAAATATTTATAAGCCAAAAAACTCACATTAAATCCCTGTGCTGTCACTGCTTCTTTTGTGTTTTATTTACATAGGCTGATCAGGCGGTTAATAAGAAACCAAAAGTAGATGGACAAGTAACAAAGACACCACTTCTTGGTTCATCTTTGGTTCAGAATTCCATTTTAGTAGATAATGTCACTGGTGTACCTACAAACCCAAGTTTTCAGAAACCATCTACTTCAGCATTTCCTGCACCGGTGCCTCTAAATTCAGGAAATATTTCTGTTCCGGACAGCCATACATCTGATAATTTGTCAATGCTAACCACAGGAATGCCCAGTACCTCATATGGTTTATCATCACACAAAGAATGGCCTCAGCATCAAGAATCAGCAAGGACAGAACCAGTATATTCACAGAAACAGGAGACATCTTTGTCTGGTAGCCAATACAACATCAACTTCCAACAGGGACCTTCTATCTCACTGCATTCAGGATTACATCACAGACCTGACAAAATTTCTGATCATTCTTCTGTTAAGCAAGAATATACTCATAAAGCAGGGAGCAGTAAACACCACGGACCAATTTCTGCTACTCCTGGAGTTATTCCTCAGAAAATGTCTTTAGATAAATACAGAGAAAAACGTAAGCTAGAAACTCTTGATGTTGATGTAAGGGATCATTATATAACTGCCCAGGTAGAACAGCAACACAAACACATGCAGTCACAAGCAACAAGCAGCAGTTCTGTAACTTCTCCCATTAAAATGAAAATTCCCTTTGCAAATACTGAAAAACCTGAAAAATACTTGGCAGAGAAAAAGGAAAAGAGTGGATCATTGAAATTACGAATTCCATTACCACCCACTGATAAAGGTATCAGCAAAGAAGAACTGAAGATGAAGATCAAAGTTTCATCCTCAGAAAGACACAGCTCTTCTGATGAAGGCAGTGGGAAGAGCAAGCATTCAAGCCCACATATTAGCAGAGACCATAAGGAAAAGCACAAGGAGCACCCTGTAAACCGCCACCACACCAGCAGCCACAAGCATCCTCACTTGCACAGTGGTGGAGGCAGCAGTGGCAGTAAACACAGTGCTGATGGACTACCACCCACTGTTTTGAGGAGTCCAGTTGGCCTGAGCAGTGATGGCATTTCCTCTAGTTCCAGTTCTTCAAGGAAGAAGCTGCATATCAATGATGCCTCTCACAACCATCACTCCAAAATGAGCAAAAGTTCCAAAAGTTCAGGTAGTTCATCTAGTTCTTCCTCCTCTGTTAAGCAGTATGTATCCTCTCACAACTCTGTTTTTAACCATCCCTTACCCCCTCCTCCCCCTGTCACATACCAGGTGGGCTACGGACATCTCAGCACCCTCGTGAAACTGGACAAGAAGCCAGTGGAGACCAACGGACCTGATGCCAATCACGAGTACAGTACAAACAGCCAGCATATGGACTACAAAGACACATTCGACATGCTGGACTCGCTGTTAAGTGCCCAAGGAATGAACATGTAATCATTTCTTTAGGTCAATTTTTCCTTTACTTTTTTAATTTAAAAATTGTTAGAATGGAAAACTTCTTCCTGATCTAGCAGTGGTAACACCTGCTGTCTCTGCCACTGCTTCAATATTTGTAAGTGCTGCTTTATTCTTCATTTTGAAAAGAAGAGATTATAGTAAACAAGTCTTTATCTCCACATATGATAGTGTTATAAATACTGTAAAAGCATGGAAGGTGCAAAACTCAGTATTTCTACCATTGCAGCTAAGAACATTAGGATGAATGGCTGGCTGCTTCTAGGAATATAAGATGCCTCAAACATTCATTATTTATAATTTGAATACTATAGCTATTTTTTGTTGTTGCTTGGCTTTTGAATGAGTGAAAATTGTTTTCTTTGTGTATTTATACTTGTATGTATGATTTGCATGTTTCAATGATAAAGGGATAAAACAGTATACTGACAACTGTTTACAAGAAAGTGGAGGAAAATGTACATACATTTTTGTATGTTTAGATATTACCATAAATACTCAGGATTGGAGCTGCTTGTAAGTATAACAATATACAGAATAACTTTATTTTCTCTTGTCAGAATCCATCACTAATCTGAAACAAAGGCGGCACTTTTTCATGTTAACCTTAAACTCTAGGCCTTACTGGAAGCCGCTGAAGAGGGACACTTCACTACCAGTTGGGTATGCAGTGCCACAGGTGGTCCTTTACACTGTGAGGCACTCAATTTTTGCCTTCAGAGGTTCTGACCAGATTGGCTGCTGAAATGGCCCCTAATTTTCTGAAGGCTTGAAGAAAAAAATAAAAGTTTACATACTCTTGATGTGAAGTGCATTTAAATGTTTGTTGGCTTATTGCAGTATAAATAATTATGTGGATTACTGTGATTTGAAAACTAAATTCACAAAAACATAGTGAAGAATTAGTAAGTTTTTTCTTAAAGAACTTTAACACTACATATTTTAACAGTAAACAGGGATCACTTTTCCTTTAGCATTCAGAATGTCACCATATTCTGAAATAGTCTCCTCCCCTGAAGCGTGTTTGTGTGTGATGTCATATTTCTTTTTCAGGTAAATGCAGTCTTCCTTATAAAAATGAAATTAAACCTATGCTCTCTTAATTCTTTTATATTCTAACAATAAATAAAAAGAAAAGATCACTGACTGTGCATTGTACCTGTATTTATAGTTTATGGTTGCTATCATCAGGAAGCTCTGTAGAATAAAAAGATCAGCCTCCAGGCAAACCACTAGGAGGTTTTATCTTTGTTTGCACATCTCATTATGTTCCTTTTAAGGTAAAGTTTGCACAGTCATCTGACTCCTGATTGAATTATAAGACTTTAACTTGTTTAAGTTTTGTTTTAAATACCAGTAGTATGGTTCTTGACTGTTAGCTAGTCTTGACTTTATTCTGTGGTAAATCTTGGAGCTTTTGAGTATCTTTAATTTGGGTTGGATTCAACTTATATTCAACTGAAAACCATCATAATTTTTCCACTGCAAATGAAATATTTTTGTTACAAAGCCACTGATATGTGCACAATTGTAACTACTCAAATATGTTGCGGTTGTAAATAATAGAGTTTAATCTGTGCTCTTTTATTTAGCAGTTATCTAAGATAACTGTTTATTATTTCATCAATGTTATTTGAACTTGAGATATGAGGAGCCTCTTTTAAGGACTTTACCTAGGTAGCATGTCCTCACATTTGTTCTTGTCTTGCATAAAGTTAGTAATCTTTGTCATTATATGTAACTTTGTTGCTCTGTGTGGCATAATATTGTATCCATAAACATGGTAATTTTGATACAGTTACACTTTTACAGTGGTACATGATCCAAGGACTAGTGTAGAATTAAGATGAGGGCAAGATGAGGGAGGGAGGGTTGTGTTCTTGGTAATTTAGATGTGAAACCTCTACAGAGCTATCATGTGAAACGATGTAGGGTGGTTGTGCTACTGTATAATTGGGGATAATACCAGGAATTTTAATAAGATTTTGTAAAGAATATCTAGAAAAGTAGTGAACTTATTTTCAGTATGATATAGAAGACAATGTGAATATTTAAGGTCTGTGACTATAGTTAAACTTCACTAAGAATTTGAAGAATTGTTTTGAAATGTGGGAATAAAGGTAATTTTGTTGAATCTTTATTGGTGCTAATGATGGACAGTTAAAAAGATAGCTAGTGTATATTGTTATGGGTTAGTACTTATTAGTACTTCCAAAATTGTTTGAAATGCTATGTATTAACTTTTCACTCTGTAAATGTAATTCTTTACAATGACTTTATTTATTAAAGGGGAGTCAGTTGTGATTTGTACAGGATTGTGTGAGCTATTCAAACTCTTTAACCTCTGAACAGAATATTAAGCTTCCAAAACCACAAAGGGATAAATACAGAAATCATTTTTAAGTTTCATTGCCATTAAACAAAAACCCTTGTAATTCATATTGCCATGAGTTTGCTTCAACCATCTTACTTGCATAAAATAGTTCATCAGCCTGGTCCCATTAGGCTTTACCAAAGAAAAAGACTCAGATGAATGGACATTACTGTGAGTCTTCTTGTAAGTAGCCATAAATAAACCAAAATAATATCAGACTTAGGTATGAAATTCCACATATGCAAAGTACTGTTAAAGTGATACATTTTTATGAGACTTTTTTTTAAATATTTGGAATATTAAAAAGCATTATCTTTAAACACCTTATAGAAGAGTGATTCGTTTTTAAGTTGTCTTTTCCCCAGATTGCAGATGTTACCTTTATGAAGAAGCACATTGCAAACAAAGGCTTTACTTCTACCTCTTTCAACTAGTTCGCCAATAAAGAGCTGTGCCCCTTGAATATTTGCCTTAGCCAATGTAAAATGTAATTTCAGAACCAAAGCAAAAGTTGTTCACAGAACATTCTCAGAGGTCTACTTTTTAAAACAGGTATAATTTGTTAATGATTAAAATATCCATTAGTGGTTAGCCCTTGCAGAGTTTCTAGCTGCAGGTTTTTTTGTACTGAAAAGTCACAGCATCCATCCCAGGTTTCTCTTGGAAAGCAGCTGAATTTGTACCTTCATTTTCCCTCTGTGCAAATTCATTCAGGTTGTTCAGAGGCATTTAAAGAAATTTCTTCCATGGTACAGAGTTTCTTAAGGAATGTCATGGGGTGGTGCTTGTGTTACTTTGTACTGACAGCTCGAAATTACTGTCTTACCTGACCTTGTTTGCCTGTCCTGTGACCTAAAAAACAACTACTGTAGTTGGTCAGCTTCAGAGAACCAGTGTCAGAGATTTCTCTTAGTTACCAATACCTTGCCTTAAAGTTTTAAGCACATATTCTTTTATATTTGAGAATTTAAATTTGTATTCCTTAGCCAACTTTAGAAATAAACCACTGCTTATATTTGCATGAGTACTTAAACACAGTATGCCCACCTGATTGAGTCGATGCTAGGGTTTTTCATTCATGAAACTAGGGGTTTATTTTTAACATAGTACCACCATGTTAAAGATAGTTTTGTTCTATTCTCACCATCCCCAATTTTATTTGAAAAGCAAAGTTTCTCACCATTGTGCTTACTTGCTAGGTGATTGTTCAGGGTTTCTTTGCTGGGAGAGATTGCAAGCTCTACTATAAAGGATCCTTGATTTGATACTTCTCTTGATTGTGCAGTCTCATAGGAGGCAGTAGGATTCACTGACCACAGCCAGATAATGGGTCAACAAATCCATGCCTCTGAAGAAACTTGAATTAACCAAATTGAGGCCCATTTATTTAAGATAACCTGATTTAGACAGCTTTTTGCACTGAAAAGCAGCACACTTTATCCCCTATTCAGTTAGAGTACAGAGTTACAATATCATTGTTAATTTAAGAATTCACAACTATGTTTACATGCGAAATCAGTTTATGATCAGCTTTAGGTGTAAAGTTTTGTTTTGTTTTTCTTTTAATATACTGAGGATTGATCACAGCTACCTTACCATCCCTTTTTTTAAAAGACCCAAGGCACTAAATTGCCTGGGATGTGCCCAAACTTGTGATCCTCCTTCTGCCTCCTGGAGCGCTGAGATGACAAATGGGTGCTGCCATTTGTCAGCCTCAAAGCTGAAATTTATTTTGTAAGTGAAATTTGAAACATCTGTCCTTAAAAATCAAGACCGTCTTCCCAGTGGAACTGAAACACTCAAAAGTATTTTAGCATGTTTTCATTTCTGTATTCTAGTGTCAATTTGGGACCAGCCTGCTTTTGCCTCTGTGAAACCTTTTTCTGTTGCATAATTTTCCGCCATCTTTTCTGCTTGCCATATTCTTTCAGTAGGTTGATAAGATATATTGAAGGTTGCATGGCTCGGGGCAGTTCTTGTCTCATAATGTAACTTAACCTATTCACTTTGATCTATTAATCTCAAAAGTAAATTCTTGAGGGCTAATTTTCTCTTATTTCCAAGTACTGAGCAGAAGCCTTTCTTGAAAGCCTGTATATTGACATTTCTGTTTAATTTGATTTGCTTATTAAGTACTGATGAGTCCATTCTTAATGATGAGGACAATTCCATTTTTTTTAAGACGTGTTTGATTTTCAAGCAGCTTCACTTGGTTAGAATACTAATGTGTTGTAAACGGTGATTGGAATTCTATTTTCTAAATGTACTCAGAACCCCCAAGGATAACTGAATGGGATGTTTGCTGATAGAAAATCCAGAACAGGCTTATGTGTGTACTGGCATGAATCAGTCATTGATTTGAGCTTCTCATAAATAATTATTAATAAAATTCTTAATAAAATTTATTAACAACACAAATCCAAGGCTCTAACATGTCTTGTTAACATGAGTCAGAAGTAACAGTCCCTGGGAAAGTGTGGGAAACCTGGTCTCTAATATATTTGACTGTCCAAGTATATTGCCCAAGAGTACAGCTTCTGGGATTACAGTGGTACCTCAGTTCATGAGCTTAATGTTTTCCACAATTCTGGTTGCAAAACTAATTGGACACAAACCAAATCAGATTTCACTATCAACACTGAACCTAACCGTTGAGTTTGATTCAGTTCTCATCCAATTAGGTTTGTGACCAGACTGGTGGGAAGTTTGTAAACCAAGGTACCACTATATATGGTCACATTTTAGTCTCAGCCCCAGTGCTTAATAGAGGATCCACTTTGGGTGAGTTGATTTGATACCTTCATTTCCTTCCCTTAAAGTTTCATTAATAATACACCGTTTTAATGTTGGTACTCTCTCCAACCTCCCTCCCATCCCTACTGATTTCCCTGTTTGCACTTGAAAAAGCTAATTACAATAACTATAATAAAAGAAGCAAAAATTATCTCAAAGTTGTATTCACTTATGCCTAGGTGTAAATTCACAATTAGAGATGTTGGTGACAAAACAAGTACAGTACATTTCTGTAATGTTGCTGATTGTACTGTACAGTACTGTAGTTTTCTGCTACACATTACAGTACTGCATGTAAGAATTGTGCAAATAAAATCATCAGTTGTAGTTTCCTTTGACCATTTCTTTGTTCTGAATATTGTAATGTGCAGTGTGAGACTGCTTAACGACCTAATCTTAGAACCATAATTTGATCATTAAACCAAAAATGTAATTCCACTTAACCAAATTCATCTAAATCCATTGCCCCCTCTTTTTACCCCTCCTGTTTTTGGTATTTTAAAATTTTTGTTTTAGCTAGCTCTACTATGTAATTTCCCTATTGCCTCTCCTCGCACCACCTCCCAAGATATCCTCAATAATGAAAGTTCACCATGTTGCCATGAAATGAAAATAGGCAGCTTGTGTATGTCTTACAAATGTCTAGGCATATACTCCAAGGTCAGTTTTCTCTGGTCTTTGAAGTCAGTAGTCTTGTTTTACAGATAAATTCACCCATAGATTTTCATGATTTTAGAACAGTGAGAGGGCAAGTGGTCCCTGCGCTATGAATTGAAAACACAAGTGTTGATTATCAATAAATAGAAGTGCCTACATCAGGGCTAATTGGCAGAATCACCAGGAAAGTATTTTTAAATGAAAGTTTTGCTTTAAGCTGAACTAATACAAGTTAAAAGTAACACTTGGGCCTAGCATGTGATACAGGTTTGGGTTGCTCCTTGAACAGATTGATGACATTATCTTCGAACTGTTCATTATACTATACAAGGAGAGACTCTTGCTGTAGTGGTCTTGGTGGGAATGGGTAACAGTCCAGATGTGGAATACTGCATAACTTCAATACTTCAAAATTTGCACTTCTGTTGTGCCTCCTAATTCAACCACTGACAAATGTCCATAGTGTCAGGGCTTAGGGAGGTTAAGCTCAAGTTACTGCAGGCCTACTTTTTAGAATTTTACTTGGGAATTAAATTTTCTTTGGTTGAACTGCCCAAAGAGTAAAAGAATATCTTAATAAATGAGCTCTTCAGAGTTGAAAATTGGGGCCATTGTGCTTGTCAAATAGAGTGACAGACAGGGGAAAGCAGTATAACTGATAAATGAACTAAGGGAAGGCTTTTTCACCATTAAAGTACTCAGAATCAAAAGTGACTGCTGCCTTTGTTTACTGTGTTTTTGGTATTTTGAGTAAAGCTTCAGAAAGTACCTGGTTTCCTTAATAAACTATGAATCTGTGAAAGGCAGCAGAGAAAACAGCTTTAAATGTTGTATAAGTTGGGTAGCAACCCCAATTCCTACCTACCAATTAGATCCCTGTAAGAAAATCTGAACCCTGTTTTTTTTTTTCTGAACCCTATTTTGAAGGTTCTTTTTAATATTTCAAGTTGTGTTCAGTGTTCTCATCAATAGAAGGGTAGATTTGTTTAACCAATTTCATATATCCTTTACTGTGTTTTGTGTACACGTTTTATTTCCTGCCTTCTCCACATGTGTTTGAACACACTTGAACATGGTCAATTGCTTAAAAACTCAGCAGATTTATCTTAATGTCTACTAAGTTTCCCTACTGGGACTTGGGCTTGTAATCCTCCCTCAGCCTCCCTAAATGCTTAAATTACAGGCATGTGGCACTGCTCCTAGACAGATTTTTTTCTTTTATCTTTACAGTAAAATTTATTATTTCATGTCATGTTGATATTTCAGTGAGTAAGGAATATAGTCATCAGATTTTTTTTAAAACTGTACAAATAGGAAAAGTTAAAATATTTTTACCTTGCCTGGACTACATTTCTTATTCTCAAATTTTTTTGACAAAGCTTGATACTAGCGTTAGAATGCACATACCGTCTTAAAGTGATAGCAGCCAATAAAATACACCTTAAATCAGTAGGTGTCAGATTTAGTGGATAAATCCACAGCAATAAAGACCTTATCAAAAGTCAAATTAAAAGGGCTGGTAACAATTTCACAACTCTTACTAGTGTTACAGAAGTGAAAGTTTGCAAAGTGACTTCATCAAAGATGACCTTCCTTCAGATAGTGGTCAAAGTCCTTTGAAAAGTTTTTGTGCTGACTGGTTTTCGTTTTAGGAAATCTGGCTTTTGTCCTACCAGCCAGTTTAGACTTAACTGGTTGTTTTGTACACGTGAGCAGGACCTGATTTACTCTAAAGTGAAAGCTGTACAAAAGTAATTTCGTACGAAAGTAATTTCCTGGGAAGCATCCAGAGTTTGGGGCACAATTATGTAAGAATACATTTATAAAACAGCAAACTTAAAGATATTTCATGACACAAATTAGCAGAAGTTTGACCAAGTTTCTGATGCTTCTGCTGAATTCAATTGACCTTCAAAATGTCTAAAGCCCAGCTAGATAACTCTGATAAGCACTGAGTCAGAGTAGTTGTCAGAATCTTAAGGCACCTTGGGCTAGTTGACATCTTGAACTATGCTCACCTTGTTCCTGAAATGTTTCTGTACTGTGCTAACCTTGTAGGGACGCCCTACCCTTGTTCTAAACTAAGCTGTTTATCAAGTCAGGGATGTTCCCTGTGAGAACTATCCTGCCACAGTCCCCTGGCGTGGAGAATAAATAGCTGCCTTTTTAGTCCCTTTGTGCCAGAAGTCTTTCTTTTGGTTTGACTTGGGAATTTTCCCACAACATTTGAATTTACTGTGAATTGTTAGATGGAATCCCAAGTCCCTTAGCTCCTGTTAAGTCTTGAGGTTCATGGAATCCTTAAGGTTAAGACTGTGGCTTTAGAGCACAGTCTAGAATATCTTAATTTACCTTCCCACTTTACAGTCTCCTTTGCAAGAATTATGTATTTACTCACCAAGAAAGATAGGTTCATTATACAATTTATTTGACACTAACAACAGGAAAAGAACATGGAAACGTATAAAGCAAAGATTCTGTTCATGGTTAACCAAAACTGTAAACATTGGAACAGGTTCTTATTTAAAATATTCTCATACATATGGGTAATACTTCATGCTTGGGAGTACTATTATGTAAGGTTTTAGTGACTGCAGAATCTGGTTAAGAGATTGAATTTCCAATAGGAAAACAAGGATCTTAACCATCATTCCCCGCAAGTAAGCAGTAACATCATTTATAGGCCCTGGGAAGAACCTTGTGTGTTCACTGATTTCTTGTCACAAAAGAGTGCTTCAGAAGCTGGAAAGCAGAAGGTCTCTCATGCTGGTCCCTAGGAAGGGAAGATAACATTAGAAGCAGCACCCTATAAAGTGACTTGTTTCAAATGTAGATTTTAGGGCCAGTGATTCATAGCTCAGTAGCACAGCACTTGCCTGGCAAGCACAAGGTTGTGAATTTAATACCTGGTATCAAAAAAAAAATAGACTTTAAAGATGTAACTACAACCGCTGACAATCAAAAAAATCTGAGGTGAGTCCAGGCTCCAGTTTTTAGCTATGTCCTCCTAAATCATTCAAACTTTCCTCTTCAGTAAAGTGAGAACAATACCTACTTCATTGGGAGAAATAATGTACATATAGCATTTCAATGCTGGCACTGCAGAGATTCAAGAACTATTGTGATTAAAAACTAGGCTTTTCTAATGCACTTCGTTCAATTTGGTGTATTACAGTTCACACTTTGAGGGTTCAGTACAATAAGCACTTAGCATTGATTTAGGACTTAGTGTATTAGAATCCAGATTTAAACCCACATGTGGCAGCAGACACCTGTAATCCCAGCCAAGACTAAGGCAGTAGGATTGCTGTGAGTTCAAGACCAACCTGAACTACAGAGCAAGACTTTGTCTCCTGCCCTGCCTCCTTAAAAAAATTGAAAAGACATCAGCCAGATGTGATGGCACACACCTGTATTCCCTGCTTATCGAAAGGCTTGGGCAGGAAGATAGGGAACTACAGGTGAGGGAGTCTTGACTACCTCCACCCTCTCCCATGCGTGCACATCTGCTGAGATGTATGACAGGTTGATAAGGCCCAGTGAGCACACCCATAACTTCTGTCATCATTTAGCCCTGCTGTGGACAAGCAACCTCAACTCCCTGTATGTTCTCTACCCTTGTCCATGGTGGGTAGCCAAAACTCCTTTTCACTAAACTCTTTCCCCTTAAAAGTCCATTTTGACTTTTTGCTTTTATAGTCCCCATGTATGTCCATGACCCTATAAAAGATCTTATGACAGTTGTCTGGTCTGACCTCAATGCCAAGCCAGTCGTCTCAGATTTGTTCTGAAATAAACCTGTTGAGTTCGTACCTTTGTTTTCTTCTTCCTTTTTCCATAGCAGGCCAACTGGGCAATTTAGTAAGACACTGTCTCAAAACTTAAAAGAGCTGTGGTGTAGCTCAGTGGTGTTTGCCTAGTATCCACTAGATCCTAAGTTCATCCCCAGTACCACAAATAATAATTTCATTAAAAATTTTAAAACATGCTTTGCAATTGAAATAATCCCATTTTGAGCACTCTTTGGTGAGCATACTTTTAGAACTGTTGTACTTTAGGTTTTTCTTCAAGAAAAAGTTTTGGAAATGTATCATACAGTAAGCCAATCAATGTACTGAAATGATCAACAGCTGCTGTGATCTATTTCAAAGGTATTCTCTTGGTTAAATTGGATTTTTACTTTACAAGAGTACTGAGGATCAAATCCATGGCCTCATACATACTAGGCAAGCTCTTTACCACTAAGCTACATCCCCAGCCATTGGTTTTGTTTGCTTTGTTTTGTTTTGTTGGGTTGTTTTGAGATGGTCATGCTAAGTTGCCCCGGCTGGCCTTAAAATTTGTGGCACCCCGGCCTCAGTTGAGATTATAAGCAGGCACCCATGTACCTGGCTTAATTGGCTATCTTTTGATAATTTTATTTTTTGTCTTTTTCGTTTTTATCAGTACCAGGGATTGAACTCATGACCGCATGCGCTTATGCTGCTGAGCTAAATCCCTAGCCCCTCTTTTGATAATTTTAAAAGCAAAATGACTGCCAGATTGTTTTTCAGGTAAAAATGGGAATAAACTACTTCTTAAAATATATTTTAATATATCATTCAAAATAATATTCTCTCCATCTGGAGGTCCTTTCTCCTGCCTTCAAAATACACAGAGATCTCTTCAAATATCATTTGTTTGCCTTCCGGCCAGTTTCTTTTCTTTTTTCCCCCCCCATTACTGAGGATTGATTCCAAGGCCTTCACACTGAGTTATAACCCCAGCCCATCTTATTATGAGACAAGGTCACACTAAGTTACTAAATTATCCAGACTAAGCTCAAACCTTCAGTCCACCTGCCCCAGCCTCCCAGAGTGTTCAAAATATTAGTGTGTTCCATCACACCAGCTTTCCTAGTTTTTCCTTGCAAATGTCCAAAATGTGTGACAAGCCTTTTTGGTTGGCTTTTGTTTGTGTGGGGGGAGACTTTTGTTTTGGTCTCTTTGAGTCAAGGTTTCATTATGCAGTTCAGGCCAGCCTTGAACTCACTTTATAGCCCAGTCTGGCCTTAAACTCATGCCTCAGCCTTCTGAGTGCTGGGATTACAGGCATGTATCACTATGCCTGACCTTTTGGTTGGTTTTTTGGTAATGTTGGGGATCAACCTCAGGATTTTGTGTATGCTAAGAACATGCTGTATCACTGAGAGATATCCTCAACCCCTACTTTTTCCTCCTAACATTTGTTATCCCCTAAATCCTTACCATTTGGCCTACTGTTCTATAGAAATGTTCCTCTTGAAATTAACCAAATCAAATGAGTTCATCTTCCTTGTCATCTGTAGCATTTGAAATGCGCACTCTTCCACCTATCTGAAACTGTCGGAGCTTACTGTGATTCTCCACCTTGGGGAAGTTCCTCTCATTCTATTTCCCCTTGTCTCCACCTTTCCCCAGTTATATTAACATGCTACATCTGATTCTATGCATATTATTTTTCTTTCTGTGCGTTTTCAAAAATATTTTTCTTGGCCCTCTATAATTTTTCAAGACTATAGCTAACAATCTTGTAATGATTTTGTTGTTTTCTGGTGCTGATAATTAAACTCAAGGCCCTGTGGTTGCTAACCACACATTTTACCAGTGAGCTATATCTCCAGTCCCTTTAAGAATTTTTAAATGCATACCTCTGTTTTTTGGTGGGTTCACTTGTTTGTTTGTTAAGATAGTGTCCCAGTAAGTTGCCCAGCCTGACCTCTTAACTCGTGATCCTTCTAACTCATTCTCCTGAGTAGCTGGGACTACAGGCCCATAGTACTGCATTATTTGTACTTCCAATATAATTGTTTTCTGGAGTTTTGAATGTCTTCTTAGACAAGAGGTAAGGGACTTTTCAACTTACTTTCCCTATTCCTCTCACATCTATATCTCCCATTATTCATACTCAAAACCATGAAATTCTATCATCTTTCTCCATTAACAAATTTTTGTTTGTTTGTTTGTTTTGTTTTTTGTTTTTTGTTTTTCCTCCATTCTATTCCTTGGGATCCATTAACAAATTTTGATTCACTCTCTTCTAAAATGTTCTAGTATCCTCCTTACAGTCTCACTGCTTCTGCCATCTATGTCTAAACTCGATTCCTAATTTGTCTTGTAGTCTCAAGCAGTGTCCATTTCTGGCCCTTCAGTACAATGCCATCTGATCTTTCATCCAACTTACTCCTGCCTTGGCATCAGATGAGAGTCAAGAGTCTTTAGGGTCCTTCAGGGCCCTTGCTGTAGAATTTTAGGAATTAATTATATCTGTGCATGTGTCACTAGTTAAAGTGTGTTTGTGTTCTTCCTAATGATTATTAACTAAAGAATCCTAATTGTGTGCCTCATAGACTGATAAGCAATTTATATGTGCCATTTCCCTTAACCTTCATAATTCTGATTATTAGCAGTACAAATTTTGTATTGCTTTGTTTATGATGTGAGGATTCAAAAGGAGAGTTATAAAACATTTCACTCTCTTTAAAGTTCTATTTGTATATATAATAACTTGAAAAAATGAGAATGGTTAAATGGTTTCTAGTTGTGAATCAATAATAACTCATGGTTAAAGCAAAGGAATTGTGATAATTTTAGAGCTAAAACAAATCACATCTAGTACTGGTCCATATGATGTCCACAACACCATAGGCAGGTCTGTGCCTGGGACTCTGTTCACAAAATCCACACTGAGATACCTGAGGTGTTTCTCCAGAACTATACTCCTAGAGTTCATAATCCTGCCATGGTCCATGTGTTCATCCTAAAATCAACCAGGACAGAAAAGTGTGTGCTGGGAGAAGAAGACAGAGGGACACATTTCCTAGCAGACAAGGAGAACTGTGTATTCTGACCTTCAGTCAGACAGAATGAACCCCAAGGGAGTTAGGGTGTTGGTATCATATACTTGCTAAAAAGATTAGGCACTAGACTTTTTCATCTAAGGATAAGAAAGCACACTTCCTTGAAAGACAGGAAATAGAGTTTGAGTCTAAGCCTTTATCTATATTACAACTAAATATTGAGCTTCACCAGATGATTTTAGGGTGCTCTGCATCATCCTAGTTGTAGTGGATGAGTTCCAGCCCCATACTCCCATTGATAATTAATGTAGATCTTTAGCAAATTTCACAGACCCCTTGGTTTGGGGAATTACTGTCAGATCCTGATAACATTTAATTGAGGCAATTTCTACTTGAAGAACCACCCCACTATACCTGGTATAACAGTAACAATCACTCAATGCAATTAATCATGATTACTTTCAGCACAAAGTCACTCCCTGCTTAATTTTGTAACTAAACAGCATTTAATGGGCCACAAATTCCAAGAGCATGTCAGCTGCTTGGAATTTGGGCATTTATTCTCTTCTTCCTGTTTTCTATTGCCTACCTGGTTAGGCACATGCGCACAAAGTCTGCTGCATTTTCTGAGAAGTGGTCTGGCAAAGGAGGCATCAGCCCTCGGTGTGCTCCAATGTAAAACATGGCTGCCATCCTGTCCATAGAAGCCAGCGGAGGCTTCCCTGTGGCCATCTCAAACACAGTGCAACCAATGCTCCATATATCTGATTTTCTGCCATAGCCAGACTCATTGATGACTTCTGGGGCCATCCAGTATGGAGTTCCATGCATGGACTTCAACGTGTCACTGTGAGTACCATTTAAGCCTGCCCAGGCCAAACGCTTGGCACAGCCAAAATCAATCAGCTTTATTATTCCAGTTGGCATTAGCATAACATTATTCCCCTTGATATCTCGATGTACCACACAATTCTCATGGAGATAAGCAACACCTTGTAGAATTTGTTTTGTATATTTACAAAATACCATCTCAGGCAATGGCCCAAAACGGCTTATAATACTAGAGATCGAGCCACCAGGAACAAACTCCATGAAAATGCTTACAATGTTCTCCTCCAAGCATGTCCCCAAATAGGTCACAATGTTGACATGTTTCAGTGCTTTGAGCAAATCTACTTCTTCCTGAAGTTTCCGGTATTCTCTTTCAGTAGCCGATTTATCAGAGGTATCCAAAGTTACTTGTTTTACAGCTATTAACTGTCCTTGGCTAGTGAGACCACAGTATACCTAGAAGCAAACAAATACCTTATTAAATTTAAATGACAAATAGCACATTCCCGAAATGCTTCCTGTAACATTTGACTTTCCCTTCCTCCAAACACTTAATACATCTGCATCTAAATGCAAAATATTTAAGCAAGTTGTATGTTTCAGTGAAGCCAATATGGGAGTGAACAAGCAGCAGGGTAAGTGAATCTACCAGCTTGGATTGATTACAACTGTACAACTTTCCCTTTCCCCAAATATGTAACTTTTCTGATAAGTTATATAATCTTTTTTACTTCAGAAAGTCAAGCTGAGTATAATAAAACTGAGACAGCCGTATTTGCCTCATCTGTTTCTATTGTCACTACATCAGATAGTGGTGGTAAAAAGTGCCTCACTGAATAAATGAAATAAGGATAGGTTAGTTCTAAAGCTTCCTGCAGAAAGATGGCAAGTTAGGGTAGGTATCATAATGTTATCTCAGCGGCTGGGTGTATTCCATCTGAGCCAGGAGTTTAAAGTGTGATCAGCTGGCTGGGCAAGTGGGCATGACCAATTACAGAGACCCAGGACACATGCACCAAAAGTGTCACCTGGGGCCAGTTGTTATAGAATATCTTGAATTCTTCTGGAACAAAAACAAGTAGGTTTTTGATAGATCTAGATCTGACATTAGAATGGGGAGATACAGAAGATGGCTGCCATTAACCTCATAGCCACTACACAGGTAAGCTTTTTCAAGTGGCCCACACTCACTCTGCAGAGCATCTTTTCCTACCTTTAGTAAATGTAAAACCTAGCTATGTTTTGCACATATCTTGACTAATTCTTTGTTCAGGACAAGAACCTGGAAAAAATCTCCAGGAGTCACAGCACCCTAAAAAAGCTGCTGATGGGCAGTATTCCCAACTAGCAACTGTAAAGGGTTTATCTTATGGGGGTAAGGGGTCAATGTTTTTTACTCGCTTATGTAAGTACTATCAAACTAAGACTGTAGATAGTTTTTTACACAATTTTCAAAACACAAGGCACAAGTTTTGGTTTTGCTACCCAGCAATAATTCTCCCAACTTCATGTTGAATTGTTGAAGGAAAAGATTTTTTCCCACTGGATTTCAACCTAGAATAATGAAAGATTAGAAAGGCAGTGGGCATTAAACCACCGTGTGAAGCCTGAAAACAAGAACCAGATGGAGATAAGGAAATCATGATGACATGGTTTGATCCCTGAAACCACCTGTGCCCAGAGCCAGACCAGCCCCACACATTTTAGCTGCATAAAACAATAAACATCTTTTCCTTTAAGTCATGTGGTTTGGGGTTTTCCATTACCTCCAATTGAAAGAATTTAAAATGTAGAAGGAGTGCAGAAGGAGTGCAGGCAGGACAGTTAGGGAAGAAAGGTCAAGGAGAGCTGGGAGTTGTGATTTAACTTACTGTGCCATAGGCTCCCTTCCCAAGGATCTCACCCTTGGTCCACAGGACAGATTCTTCATGCTTTAAACTATTTTCAGAAAACATATTTTCATTTGAGGTCAGAAATTTCTTCTCCCTGTCACGTATCCTGAACCTATTACTATACCTCTGGAGAAAAAGACAAAAAAAAAAATCACCATTAAACTCTGAAATGCAGAGTACAGTCTTCCTTTCTAATGCACCTGTCCATGGGCTGTTCTTACTACTGATAAGTAACTTCTAAACCCCAGATTTCCCAAAATGATCACATAACCAGTACTTGGCAGCTTCTCTTGCCGGGCATGGTGGTGCACACCTGTAATCCCAGAATTCAAAAGGCTGAGGCAGGAGGATTGTTGCAAGTTTGAGACCAGCCTGGACTGCATAGTGAGACTTTGTCTCAAACAAACAAAACCAAATAACAGTTTCTTTAACTTCTGTCCTTATATCCAATTTAGGACCAACTGCAGAATGCCAACAATGCTCCTATAACTAATTTCATAGGACAATGCACTTCTAGTTAAACAACTGACTCTCCCACATCAACAGTTTCCAACCAGAACACCTCTGAAGCTTTCCCTTTTTTCCATAAAAGTTTAGCACACATGTGTGTGTCTAAACCAGGCCTTTCAACCTGCCATTTCAAATGGAAGAGGAGCCAACAAGCCTATAAGCATAATTAGATCATCACTCCATGCTGCAAAAACTGACCTTTGCATTGAGTTTGGCTCAATGCTAGAGCACTTGTTTACCACAAAGCACACCCTGGAGTCAGTCTCAGCATCACAAAACAAAAACAGCACTGACCTTTATGACTTTTTCTATTGCAAGCAGTCCTAAATTTTATTTTGTACAGAGATGAAAAATGGGTGAGAGGAATTCAGGTAGCTTGAATGGCCCATGGACAATCACAAGGAAGGATCTTTAGTACTTCAAGAGCCTTCACCATACTTCTGTGTTAACATCCTTTTTTATTTTTAAGACTACTAGTACAGGAGATCAAATGAAAAGGTTCTGTCCTGATCAAACAATTGAGGAAGGGGATCTGAGTTCCTCAAAGGGATATTTTTTTCCCTGACTTCCAGGGCACTACTTCCTAAGGTTTACTATGAACATGTTATGGTTTAGACTGAAAATGGCCCCCAAAGCCTCATGTATTTGGAAGGTGATTGGACTGTGGGGTGGTAGAGCTATGTCGCTTGCTGTTGGTTGGGGATGGCATGGCCTGGAAGGGTCTATTTTCCTCTCTAGCTTGTTCCTTGATTCTTTCTGCTTCCCTACCACCATGGCCTGAGCAGCCATCTTCCACTCTGCCCTCTGCCATGCAGTCCAGCCTTGGCTAAAAGATGAGCCAAAATAAACTTGCCTTTTCTTAAAGTTATAGGTGTCAAGTATTTTGTCCCACCAACAAGGGAAGTAACTAAGATAGAACAATGAATTTCTTGGGGATTGTATTAAAATGTAGGTATTGATTCAGTCTGTCTGGGGTTTGAGATTCTGTATATCTAACAAGCTGACTCTGCTGGTCTGCACATTCTCTCCAAAATACCAAAGGTCTTCAGGATTGTGGATTTTCAGTCAGTTTTGCTGGTCATGGCTACTTAAATTCTTTGTTATCATTGTGTATCTTGGTGTGTGCATGAGACAGACAGACAGACAGAGAGCAACTGTGATCTGTTTTGTAAATGTGTGTTTTCATATATATGCACTTAGGCTTACATGTGTATGTCTCTGGATGTGTGTGTATCTTATAGAAATAAATGAAGAACAGGAAGACTATTCACTTGAGCTTACTTTAACCACTGTCACTTGCATTGGCAGGGACACAAAGGTAGGTAGAGGAGTGGGAAGCCTGGCAGCTTATCTAAATCACTATCTATCTGCAAGTAAAGTTTACCCTGAGAGTGAAGCTGGACATTTAGGAAGAGGAATATGCCACACTGTGTAGTGCTTACAGGTGTAGAGCTAGAATCAGGATGCCTGACAATACCACATACTGGCTCCATGTTGGTTCAATCTCCTTATTGACAATATGGGGGCATATTCATACCTACAGCATTTATAGTTATTATGAAACATTAAATGATACAACGTGTCTCACTCAAATGTAATAAGTTCTCAATAAACCTAGCTATGGTATAATTATTTGCTTTCTGTGTGATAAAAAATACAGTGAATATATTTTTTAAAAATATAGTGAATATTTAAATCCATTACAGTCAAAGTCATATTGCTATTAATTCCTCTAAAAATATTCCCCTCATTTTAAATACCTTTATCCCATCCTTCTTGCCACTGTAGTGATAATGTGTCTTTTACTGTAATAAGTTTTAAAACTTTAAACATTCACTGTGTATGTTGATCACACTTGATTTTCATGTTTAATAGCATTTCGGTTTAACTTAGTATTTCTGTACTTAAAATTTGAGCAGAATAAGAAAATCATATGCTCAGGGAATACTAAAAACACAAATATCTGTTGATATTCTTCTCCATTCTGTTCTCATTGCCATGCCAAATAAAATGCTTTGAATTTGTTTTAGGAGTTTTGTTTATGCTAACCATCTGAGAGCAAATACACAGGTGCAGGGAATCATTGAGATATGCTCCTCTCGTGTCTTCCTGTGAAATGGTGAGCTACTTCACAGGTCACGGTCATTTCTTTCCTTCTTACACAACACTTAAACATGTCTAGAGTAATGCTTTGCCTATCAGTTTACTAATCATGAAAAATTATCTGCTCTGAAAGTGTGATCAGTGAAGAAAACAGTGACCTATTTAAGTAAATAGTTTTGCTAAACAGGTGACTTCATTTCAGTGTTAAACTAACTTCCAGAAGTAATGCCCCATGAGGAAAACATCTTTTAGGAACCTGGATTCCAACCTTGTGATTAAATAATGAGACCTTGAAGAAACTACTTAATTATTTAATTTATGATTCCTCATTTGAAAACAGGAGTTTGAACCAGGCATTTTCTGAGGTCCCTTCCCATCCCAATGACTCTCTGATTCTAATTAAACCAACCTGTATTGTGACATTTGTCATCTCTCTGTCCAATTCTTTTGTGGTATTTCCTCTCCTACTCAGGACATGATTTAAGTTTTCAGAATCTCTTTTATTTGTGATTATTTGGCAACAGTTGTTGTCTTTTTCATCAAGAGCTAGTAGTTCTGCAGCTAGACAGCCTAATAGTTCATCTGTCAATTCTTTATTCTTTAGTGAATCTAGAATTTCTTGAGAAATTGAACTTGTATCCTTCGAAGTTTTTCCAAATGTTTGAAATTGTATTGACTTATTTGTTAAACTATCAGGATCCAAAGAATGTGCCCAATATTGATATATTTGGGAAGATGTGCTTTCTTGCTTTTCTTGGAGAGAGAAATCTGCAAGTGTTTTAGGCTTATCTAAAACATTATCAAATTCTAGATAATTCATTAACATTTGGCTGGCATTTAGCGTATGGAGAGATGTTGTACTCTGCTTTTCTGGCTGTACATGCTTGATAGAACTCTTCTCAGTGGGCATGGTCCAGCTGTTTTCCAAAGGGACAAATGGGGTCTGATGATGTAACTCTTCAAGTTCTTGCAGATCTCTAAGGCTTGTGGTGAGTATTTGATGGTTAGAAATGTCTCCTTCATTGGTAGACTCTTCCATTGTGATTTCTTCAACAATGGATAAATTTGAAACAGGAAGGAATTGGTTCTGTTCAGGGTTCTTCTCCAGAGTCTGGGCCAAGTTCATGGGCTGAGCTCCATCTCTAGGAGATAGAAGGTCATTTCCTGAAGATTTTATCTGCCGTCCTGCTTCTGGAATACCATTAGTATTTTCAATGTCTGGTAGGTTTCTACCTGCAGCCTTACAGCCCTTTTCTTTAGAAATTAAACCTTTGTGCTTTTGTTTAAGAGTAGCTGAAGGCTTTGGAGGTTTACCATTTGGTCTTTTTTGAGAAAGTCTTGATCTGCTGCTGCTGTTCCTCTCACTGTGGGAAGAGCGACATTTATTGGTTATACATCTGCCTGATGGAGCTGAATGTAACTCACGGTAAAACAAGTTTTCATGTCGGTCAGCCTCTCGCATGTGACAATAAACAGGGGTCCCAAACATTTCATATATTCCAGGTCCATTAGCAGTTGAATTAATTTCTTTGAACATGTCACTATACTTAAGATCCAGGTAATGCAGTCTTGGCTCAGTTGGTTGAGCAGAGAAAGGAACACAAGGCGCTTTTATTCCTGGATTTTTACAGATGCAAGGAAATGACTCCTTTTTAGGTTTCTGAGTTTGGGAAGTTGACTGCTTCTTTTCTATTTGTGATATTCTCCTTTGAAACTTAGGTGATTGCTGAGACTTAGGATCAACAAGCTCTAAAGCAGGGAAAACTTGAGTTTTTATGCTAGTTTTATGTATACTTGGCTTAATGGAAGCTTGAATGGAAATTGTGAAATTCTGAGATGTCCTGTTGCTTGTCTTGGCCTTTGAATTCAATTTTCTTCTATGGATATTCTTATGTTTGTCATTTTCACGTTGCGCAAGTATGTTGAAACTATTGTTCTGAATGGTGCTCTTTCTTTTTTGGAGGGTTGGTTTGGCTATAGTTGATTCCTTGGGGGTTCTGTCTCCAGGGAAAGTGATGTTAACAAGAGGCATCTTCTCATTCATGTCTATTTTGCTTCCTTCTGCTATGGATATTTTCATGTTTGTCTCCATATCGGTATGGCCTTCTAGGACTTTTTCAGTGGGGCCATCAGAAATTACATTTGACAAGCTTTTAAATTCAGTGAACTCTTCTAAGATGTTTGATTGTGTGGCTTCACTTTTATGCAATAAAGGGCTTTTTGAAACAATTGTATCCGTTCTAATCTCTTCATCCTCTACTGAAGCTATTTCTGAATGTTGGGCTTCTTGGGGCTTACTTGGAAAAGTACATACAATTTCTGAATCTTCCTCATACTTTCTGGGTGCTGAACCTTGTTTCTTTCTTGATGAAAGGTCTTGGGAGTTCTCTTCTGCCTTCCTCGTATCACTGCCATGGCATTCAATATCCTCTCCCCGACATCTAAGAATGTTGCCTTCCTTAAAAGTCTCAAAAGGACACTGCCTTTGATCAAGGCAAGAGATTTCAATTTTGTCCCATCTTTCTGTTTCCTTGGACCTCCAATTCTCCTCCACCTCCAGGTGCTGTCTATGGTGATTACCTTTCCAAAAAGAATACATGTTTCTTGACCAAATAGAGCTACCAGAAGTCCTGAGATTCTGACCCACCAATAAGGCTTCCGGTGGTGGACTAACTGAGAAGTTAGGTACAAAGGATGTGAAGCTTGAAATACTTCTTTCTCTCTCTCTTGGAAACTTGTAACTCTTAAGGGTGGTTAAGACATCAGATCTTATGGGCAAGAGTGACAGTGGTGGCTGAGGGAACTGAAAGGAAAAAGAGAAAATTCAGAAACATAAATATGTTAACTGGTTTAAAGGCATCTGAAGAGATGGTAATATTCTCTTTAGAAGTGTCTCTAGAATAGATCTCTATCCTAGAGATCAAAATTTTAAAAGCTAGAATTTCTGTGGTAGAACATAGACTTATCATGTATAAAGACCTAGGTTTAATCTCCAGTACCAAAAAGAAAAACAAAACAACTAAAATGTCATACCCAGTGGTGTTTTAAAAGAAAAACAAAACAACTAAAATGTCATACCCAGTGGTGTTTTTAGAACCAAGATATAACTATTTTTAAAAATGAGATGTAAACACTATGATTTTTTTTTTGACAAGATCTTGCTGTATAGTCCAGGCTGGCCTTGAACTCACTATTAGCCCAGGCTGGCCTCAAGCTCATAGTGATCCTCCTGCCTCAGCTTCCCAAGTGCTGGGATTATGGGCATGTACCACCACAATGGGCCTCATATTTTCAAATGAAGGATCTGTGTTAAAAATTTAAGATAAGCATGTTATTCTTGTTCTTTTAATATTTCTATCCATAGGATTGCTTTAAGATTTTTGAAATCTCACTATTAGTTTTAAATTGCATACATATATATATATATATATATATACATATATATATATATATATATATAAAATCACGTCATTGTTGGCTACAGAGTTTGTATCTGGCACACAAATATTTGTCATCAGTTTGCTGAATTGTTTTTTGGAGAGTAGTTAATACATTGCCAGACTTTGCACTTGAAAGTTAGTAACCTGAATAACTTTTCAGGTTACTCTTCAACTACAGTATACTCCCATGAAGTCGCGGTTCAGAGTTTTCACATAAGCGCAGTCCTTTGTAGATTTTTTTCTTAGAACCTAAGAATTGTTCATGGAAACCTCTGCAATTTTGTGGAAACAGCAAATATCCTCCGCATTTGGACAGATGCACCAGCATTCCGCATCATAACAGGTTGCTGCACTGTGTGGCTATCTCCAGTGTTCTCGGATTTGTTCTTAAAGCCCTGAAGATCCCTAAGATGCTGCCAAAACGCCCTGCACCTGATAAGGCTTTATCAATACAGTATTTTATTAAATTAAATTACATGCGGGAGGCATAGCGTATTTAAGGTTTAAACTATAAAAAGTCATTTATAGGGGCTGGGGGTTTAGCTCAGCGGCTTAAGCACCTGCCTTGAAAGCAGGCAGTCGTGAGTTCGATCCCCGGTACCGATAAAAAGGAAAAAGACAAAAAAAAAAAAAAGTCATTTATAGACATATTTCTAAACATATCTGAAATTTGAGGTTTTTCACAGTTTGCAAGGGCTCTAGGAATGTAATCCCACAAATTTCAGGAGTTCACTGTATTTTCAAACTAAACTAGTTTTTAGTAATACCAACCTCAAGAGGTCAGTATAACCCAGTATATAATATTCAATTTTGCAGTCATGAAACTATAAACTGCTTGATGCTCCTTTTCCTTGTGGACTTTTCCTTTATATACAGAGTCCATAATTATAATATTTATAGGCACAGATTATGCATGGTAATCAAGAACTTATAAATTTAATTATCATTCTTAAGAAAGGGAGGAAAACTGATACTAGAAATCTGGGCATTATGAGGGGGGATACAATGTAGCCTCATTTTCATTGTCTGGGTGACTTTCCACATTTCTCCCAAATAATTTAGAAATGATGGCAGATTCTCCTAGGGCTTTGATGTTCTAGTAATTGTCATTAGTTTTTTAGGTCAATAAACTTTTTGAAACACTGAAAAGGTACTAATGATAAAAGGCTCACAAGATACAGAATGGGTGAGAGAATTGAGAAAACTTAAGGATTATATATTTCCAAAAGATCTACTTATAAACAGCTAAGAAAGTTTCACTATTAGAAAATAATTGCGTAACTTCTAGACAGATTAAGCACTTACCAGTACAATTATTTAAATACAGAATGACAAAAAATTGCACATTTTCTATTAATTTTTATAAAGCAATGAACAAGATACATAAAAATGATTTTATCATATTTACCCAGTACAAGAATTGACTGATTGAAATGACACCTTCTGAGCAATGGTCAGGAGCATCAGTACATAAACAAGTATGTCGTCTGAGTGATGCTCAGGGAAAACTAATAGATTAAATGAAATCAAATGAAGCCAGGCACGGTTGTGCAGGGCTATAATCCCAGCACTCGGAAGACTGAGGCAGGAGGATATCTGTGAGTTTGAGGCTGGCTTGGACTACATAGTGAGTTCCAGGTTGGCCTGGACTACATAGCAAGGCCCTATCTTAACAACAAACAAAACCAAAGAAAGATTAAAAAAAAAAAAAAGTAAAAACTTGTCTAAGAAAGCTACCTGCTTCACTGTGTAGAGAAAAAGAAACATCCCAGAAAAGCCAAACACAAGGCATAACCTTCCCAGGAATGATTTGCTAGTCCATGAACTACGAGTTATTGTTTTCTCAAAACATAGTTGCTGAGGACTAGATTCTGAATTGTTTAATGAAGTTTCTCTTTAACAATTAAAGTTCTTTGGTTTTTAATTCTCAAGTCAGAAGTGCTAAAACTAATCTTACCCCAATTCTTCGGTTACTGCATTTCATAGCACATGTAGAAAACTCTAAAAAGAAAAAAAAATTGATTATTCTTAGTACTTAAGTAAGCACATTCTTAAAACCAAGTTTGAGGATGGAATAATGTAGATATTAAAGTTTGAGGGAAAGTAACAGAAATTAGAAGTGTTTTCCTGTGTAATCTACATGGAGGCTGGTATAGAAAGCTTCAGGCTTCTGCCACCTGGAGTTGCTGTTTTATGCAGTTGTTTCCCCTTATCCGCAGTTGTGCTTTCCACAGTTTCTGTAGTCTAAAAACATTAAATGGAAAATTCCAGAAATAAATAGTTCATAAACACTAATTCATGTGCCATTTTGAGAAGCATGATGAAATCCCTCAACAGCCTGCTCTGCCCATCAGGATGTGAATCATCCTTCTTTTACCATCCACACCGTGTGGTACCACCCACACATTAGTCACTCTCTAGCCATCTATGTCTCTCTGTGTCTCTGTCTCTCTCTCTTATTTTAAAGAGAAAAAATAATGCAACAAAATTTCAAAACAAGATAATAAGAGAGTAACAATAGGAGAGTAACATTGTGTATTGTTATCTTCAAAGTAGTTGCTCAGAGTGCAAGATATAGGCATGAAAAATAGACCAAACAATGTTAGTACAAACCTTTCTTTTCAATGAACTAAGAGAAATTAATAGTATAACCATCTTATCTGTCGTGTGTGTGTGTGTGTGTGTATTATCTTTTCCCTTCCTTTCTCCTTTCTCCCACCCCAGTTTTTCTTTTCTTTTGAACAATTTCTTCCCATTTCACAGTATCTATTATACATCATGGACTCCGGCCACCTGTGTTGTCATGTTCACTGTCATAGTATCACAGTACTTGTTTTCACATGACCTCATGTAAGAAACTAAAGCTACATCACTGTGCCTGTGTCATTTATTTTACTTTGTCTTGTCATGCAGGCATTGATTGTATCATCTCACATCATCCCAAGAACAAGAAGGGTGAGTAGAGGGCAATAAGATGTTGAGAGAGAGAGGAATCACATTTACAGCCTCAAAAAAACAAAACAACAACAACAAAAAAACCCACTAGTTGAGCATGGTGGTGCACTCTGAGTAATCCCAGCATTTGGGAGACTGAGACAAAAGGCCAACCTGGAGTAAACAGTGAGATACTTTTATAATATTATAACTGTTCCATTGTTGCTAAGCCTAATTCATAAATTAAACATCATCATTGTCATCTGGGCTTTATGTGTAGGAAGAAACATGGACTACTTAGGAGTCAGTACTGTCAGTGCTTTCAATCATGTCCTGGGGAACTTGAAACAGAACATCAGTGAATAAGAGTGAGCTACTGTATTTATATCTATTTCTGACAGGCTATATGAGATGTCTAGATCAGAGAACAGACAGACTATTGCTTACTGACAGAGCACCAGGCCAGTTCCCCACATCCCGGATCCTCACAGGGTGATGTGATAAGAGCCAGATATTTATATGGTGGGATTGCATCATAGGTGGGACCTCGAAATTTATGAGTCTCAGGTGATATTATTCAATCGTTGGCACCTTTGCCCATTTTTCCCTCCAAAGTGAGACTTTTTTGATGAAATGTAAGTAAATATCTCAAGAACAAAGGAATAAGATGTTTCTGGGCTTTGTTTCCCTGCGATGTAAGCTAATAGTTGCTAAAGAAATTAGTTTCTAAATGTCTCTAGCATTGAGGCAGACTCTGTAATTTCCAAGGCCTGTTTGCCATTCAATCATCTTGGAACTTAGTTTTCTAGGGCTTTTTGCTCAGAAAACCTGGACTGTACAGAAATGTGAAAATATTCATGTGTAAATTATCTCCCAACAGTCGCTTGAGTTAGATCATAAATTCTGGACAGTGACGCAGGGAAGAAGAGTGTGGAATTTACTAGGTAATATAAGCAATAGAAAACCCTGAAGTTGTTCTCTTCTTACTAAACAGTCAGAATGGTTCCCCAAATCCTATCCACCACTATAGCCTAAAGCTGAAGTCAAAGGTTTCAATGTCTCCAAAGTCAAAACAAGTTATATAAATGGATATAAGTGGAACAGTGGTGAATTGAGGTCATGTGCCCAAACTAGAGTGGTGTCATTACCCAGTTATAAGTGAAGTCCAAATCAGATGGATAACTCAGCACTGTTAGGTCTTCCAACAACAAAAAGATACCAGAGATCTGCAGATTTTATGTGAAATACTCCTCCCAGTGCTTTGGGGTTTGTTTATTTATTTTTGAGATGGGGTCTCACTATTTACTCCAGGCTGGTCTAGAGCTCATGTTGATCCTTCTGTCTCAGCCTCTCAAGTGCTGGGATTACATAAAGTGTACAGCACCATGCCCAGCTAGTCCTTTGTTTTTTTTTAAGGCTGTGAGGGCTAAATAAAATATAGCTGTAGGTCTTTTTCAGTCACCAGCTGTGATTTTGAAATTTTTCTTAGAAAGAAGTGAACTTCTTTAAGTTATAACATAGGCAGAGAAGCCCATCTCAGGAGAAAAATTTACTAAGAAGAGGATCCTCATGGACATTCTCCTGAGCAATGGCTGGCCAGGCATTCCTCCTCCATCACAGTTCTTTGTTTTTAAGAAAATCATTTTTATTTTTTTCTAAATATGATAAAATGTTTAAATTCATATTTTAAAGTTAGTGATGAAATCTCAGATTTATATAACATTTTCCATCCAGGGTTGTGTTTTTGTTGTTGTCTTTTTGAGACAAGGTTTTGCTATGCAGTTCAGGCTGGCCTTGAACTCATTATGTAGCCCAGGCTGGCCACAGACTCACAGTGATCCTCCTTCCTCAGCCTCCTGAGTGCCAAAAATACAGGAATACACCACCACACCAGGCCCCATCCACTTTTTTTAGGAAACAAAACCAACAGTATGGTCAAATATTAACTTATTTTACTTTTGTATTACTAACTAATATTTATGCAGTGTTCCTGCATACACATAAAAACTTCTAGTCATTGTTTTGTTTTTAAAAGAAAACACCATTTAATAAATTATATCATAGCCCCAGAAGTATGTTGGAAAAGTATAAAAGGTAGGCATAAAAAGAACTTAAGGTTAGTCCCATTTTTTCATGTGTCCAGAGTCACCATTCTTCCCTGTATTATGATTTTTATTTTAACTGGTTTAGTTTTAAGATGGAAACATATTTATAAATTATAATTAATACAGGTTTTTCAGTTTGCCCCAAGATTATGCACTGAAACTGAAATGAAGCAGTATTTCCAGTTCCAGTTTTGGATCCATGGGTAGTAAGGTATCTCTTAAATAAAGCTGGTAACAATTAAACCAGCAAATGATGGCCGCAAGAAAACTATTGACAAAATACAACCGGGAAATGTTCATCTCAGTATATGCAGGAATCCGTAGTGTAAGTAAAAGAATGAGTACAAAGCAGGCACAAATGGTAACGAGGGAGCAAGAAAAGAGACAGTGAGCTCAGGCACGCTATGTTTTTAGGGTTTAGAGTGTAATTAGGAAGGATATAAAGGAGGAAAACATAAAATAATCGCATTCACATAGAAAGTTATTCAAATAGCCTGTACCAAGGTAATAACTTCTGACCAAAAGGTTATAAAAGCCATAAATAAAATTATCATCATGGAAAGCCACAGGCAATAACTCTGAATGCTGACATAGATAGGACATTGATAAGAATAAATATTCTGTGCCTTCAGGCTTTGGTAAATAGCTGGATTTCCCAAAACATAAGGAAGGACTGAGATCCAAATTAAAATTACTGCAAAGAAATAAAACAAGTTTTGACATTTAGATGAACAGTTGGTGAGTTTAGAGAAATTCAGGCAATAATCTAGATTAGATTAAAAAGACTGGAAAATGCAAAAAGCTATAAGTAAAGGAAATAATTTGAGCAAACAGACAGATGCAGTATTTACTAAACCTAATATCTAAAAGCACAAAATCCCTGAAGTAGGAGATAATGTAAATGTTTACCAAAAATTAAAAATCAACAAGTGTTAATGAAACATGAAAACAAGCCATAAAATTTTGATGATTGGTTTTCTTCTCATTCCTAATGTGAGGGCATTTAATAGTATTTTCCCAGGTACAATCAAGCACAACAGACAAAAGGTATCTAGAGGCTGATCTATTTTATATAATTGACACTGAAAAGATCAGTTGTCTGAAGAAAAAGGTGTCATATTTTTAGTTACATTTCAAGAAGATCTGCTGAAATACACATGATAAAAAAAAAAACCGCTTCACCTTGTTTTCCATCCTCTCCAGAGTCTTCCTGATCAACCATCCAATTTAATCTTGGTTTTGCTGCCTTCAACTATGCCACTGTTGGTTCCTCATGTTTCATTCTGCTATGCCAATAGCAAATACTATGTGAGCTACCCTTTGCGGGTGTGGGTTATCTCTGGAATTTGAGCAGCAGCCCCTCGGGCCGAGCCGCGGACACTCACAGGGGTCTGGGCTACAGCTTCCTCCCAAGGTCTTGGGAAAGCAGGTGCTGCCTGTAGGAACCCCTCACCCTCACCCCCAGGCAGCCAGAGCTCCATGCATATATCCACCAGATTCTTACTGAGTACTTGCTGACTGGGGCTAATGTTACCTCAAATGATGATGATAATAAATAGGCTGTGAATAACAAAGGCAAAAATCTTTGCTCTTGCAAAGGTTCCTCTTCAGAGGTTAAAATTTTCTGTTGAAAATGTAGTAGAAGTTAATCCAGAAATACAACTGAACACCATTTATAATTAGATGCATATGAATACCTCTTGAGTTTAAAAGAAATCTTTGAGATATTATAAATATTTATACAGATATTATATAGTATTGGTCAGGAATGATGCGAAATAGAAAGGTACTCTGAAAGATTTCTGGTATAGTAAGATATCTCTGGTAGATTAAGTCAGAAATATGCACTGAAAGCCTTTTAAAATGTGTAGAATTCCAATTAAGCAGGCAGATTGAGTATACAAGCTTTTCTCCACTTTCTCTCACTAAAACAACAATAGAGACACTTTTAAAAAGTAAATA